GGGTCGTCCACAGATGTTGCACGCATGGAGGGCTACATCTAGTGCCGGAGGGGTGGTGTCAGTATTTTTGCGGCGCTGGCACTTGTCTGCCTCGCTATGCAGTCGGACTAACTTGAGAGCATTGACACCTTGTGTGGTGCTCCTCCAAGCGCTATGATGTGGAGTAATTGTCTCCCGGGTGAGGGGGTCGATATGGCACTTTTTCAGGTTTGTCTTAAGACTATCCTTATACTTTTTCAGTTGCCCACCAGCGTTACGTTTACTATTCATTAGGTGACTGTAAAGTACGGTAGCTGCTTTGGCTGTCTACTGTCGTCCATGCGGGTAACATGGCCAGTCCAATGTAGTTGTTCATGGATAATGGCAGCCTCGATGCTCCTACAGTTGGTGTCAGCGAGAATACTGGCATTTGTTCTCTTTTCTTCCCAGCGAACACAGAGGATGGAATGAAGGCTATGTTGGTGAAAGTTTTCAAGTGCCTTGAGGTGCTTCCTGTATGTGACCCATGTCTCGCTGCCATATAGCAGGATGGGGAGGACTACTGCTCGATATACATGCAACTTTGTAGATAATTTCAGCTCCCTACAGCTGAAGACACGGGTATGGAGTCTGCCAAAGGCTAGAGACGCACATCTGATCCGATGTTGAATCTTTTCATCCATGTCCGCTGTATCACCATCACCAGAACTCATGTGTATTCTAGAGTACTAATGCTGTGTGGAACTTTCTGCCACACAGTGTTCTTCCTATATAATTATAATAGTTCATATATTCTTTAGATTAATGTTCATTTTTTCGCAGGTTGATGGAGATTCATGAACAGGATCTTGGTGCGACTGAAGGATTACATTTATATAGAGGATCTTGGTGCAACTGTAGGTATTATGTTTCTATAGAGGATCTTGGTGCAACTGAAGGTATTATGTTGGACAGAATTTTAAAGTACTGTACTGTATAGATTTTTCTAAATTAATTGCTGAACAAGTAAAAGGGTAGATAAAATAGAAGTAATTAAATTTTTTATTTGATTTTTAAAAGTATGATTACGACAAATATATATTTAGATAAAAAAATTAATAATGGTTGTTCCCTCTAGTGGCTCATGGAAACTATTCACAGGATGTTATTGGTGGAGACCCTAAGAATTACGACCAATCAGAAACGATGAGGAATCCTACACCAGTCAGGACCACCACAACTTCCAATACGTCAAGTCATCCAATCAGAAGTTATCGTTCCTCTACAGAGAAAATAATGTAAACGAATCATACGCCTTCCTGTAGTTGCCGTACCACTACAGGAGAAAAACACTTAAAACCTCAAAGTAATTTAATCTAACTTAACCAGGTGTGTAGTTAATTGCACAGGAGTATATATAGAGCTTTTAGGAGTCACTATATACCCCAGATACTCCATTAAAAGAGTCACTATACTCCCCAGATACTCCATTAAAAAGAGGTTTCAATGCACACTATAAATGCGTACAGTAATTTTTGACAGCGTTCGGAAAAAGAAAATCAATATTTTATGTACATACAGTATATTTATTATTTTGATTTTTATATCCATACGACTCGAGAATATATAAAATAACTATTCCAGATATATTTAGCACTGACTGATTGACCAATAGGGGAGTGGGAGATACACAAGGGGTTGATAAACAATGTAGATGAGAGAAGATGAAGACATAGAAGAGTGGATGAGTAGGGGAAAGGAAGTGGCAAAGGTGAGGAGAGGGAGGTGTAATGGCTTGTGGGTAAGTGGCCCCCCTAGGATGTTGGTGAGGTGTAGGGAAGTGGCACAGGTGAGGGGAGGAAGGTGACTTGTGGGTAAGGGCCTACATAGGTAAAGGAGAAGTAATAGGCAGTGGACAGAAACCTCATAAAGTGGATAGGTTAGGATAGTTTGTGGGTAGTGATGGCTCTTTAGAAGGTCAATATTGGCTAGGGGCCCTCAGAGACTAGCCAATATTGACCCTTAGTTCATGGGTAGGGGCCCACTGAGAATAAATAATAGCTAGGGGTCACTCAATTCATAGATAGGGCCCCTCAGTTCATGGTTGGAGCCCTCAATTCATAGATAGGAGCCCTCTGAGATTAGATAATGGAGGGCAGAGTGAATACAGAGGATTATAATAGGGATGTGAGGATTACTCAATGAATAGGAACACTTAGAAAATAGGGAGTGAGAGAGAATAGTAGCTGTTAGCTCTCTCTAGACAAGAATAGGTAAGGGGCCCTCAGTAGGAAGACAGAGGATAGGATGAGTAGATTGGGACCCTTAATAGGTAGGTAAAGGCCCTCAGGAAGTAGAAAAATATTAGGGCAAATCGGTAGGAACCCTTATTTTGAGGGGTAAATAGTTAGGGGGCCCTCAGTGGTAAGTTTGTGTTATCAGGAGCTCTTGAGGTGGATTTGGAGAAGCGCTTATTATTTTTTGGTGAGGTGGAAGAATGGACAAGTTGCATCCCACTCATAATTCATCTTGGCCTTCTCCTTGATACAGGTGTTGGCACATACTAACAGCGACTCACCCTAAGAGAGAATATGTGGAATTAGTGAGGGTGAGATGAAGAGAAGGGGGGGAAGGAAGGTAGGTGAGAGAGGGAGGGAAGGTTGGTGAGAGAGGGAGGGAAGGTTGGTGAGAGGGGGAGGGAAGGTTGGTGAGAGAGGGAGGGAAGGTTGGTGAGAGAGGGAGGGAAGGTTGGTGAGAGAGAGAGGGAAGTTTGGTGAGAGGGGGTGGAGGGAAGGTAGGTGAGAGGGGGTGGAGGAAAGGTAGGTGAGAGGGGGTGGAGGGAAGGTACATGTAGTATAATAATCTATCCAATCATAATGCAGTATAATTCTATCCAATAAGAATACAACATAACATATAGGACACTCCACTTACCCTATAGCAAGCATCACAGGCAAGAATACACATATCCACTTTATTCATAGGTGGTCCACTGTACACATTTGGCCTCAATAGTGGGTTGGCCTCCACGCCTCCGATCATCACCAAAGCCATCAAAGCCGCCAGAGTTATGCCAATCACGCCCACTATGACAAAAAAAAAATAGTAATAATAATAAAACATATATTTCAGTATTTTTAAGCTATTTTATAACTTAAATACTTCAAGGTCTTGTGTAGTTATATAGTATTATGTGTCTAGGACCGAATACACGATGTACGTGGTGTCGTAATTAAGCCAAAAAATCAGTCAAAGTTCCTGTACTTTTAGAAACCTTCAGTCAGAAATCCTATTCATTCTTAGAAACCTAATATTTAAATCCTAGATACTTAGAAACCTTATGTCAAAATGCTAATATCTCACTCATATAAACCCGACACGGTGTTAGAAACTGTAAACAGCACGAGAGACCAACTCACTGTTAAGGAGAGGAGCCAGTGAGGGAGATGTGTCGTGCTTGAGGGCTGGAGATGAAGTGATGCTGTGGTGTAGGTGTGTCCGTCTTATATACTGTATATACACCCCCTTGCCCTGCCTCCTCCCTCCCTCCTTCACCTCCAATGTGCGCATACTCCCTCACCCATTTACACACACGTGTATGTCTGTATTCGTATACATGCATATATGTACCTACACACACCCACACGTTCCCCCTCTCTCATGCATACATACATAGATACATACATACATACATACATACAACTATAATCATGTTGAACTGTATACCTGTATAGTTTATATACATGCCAATCGAATTAGATTAGGTTTGGTTAGGTTATTGTTTTGTTAGGTGCCACATTACCGTCTTCACTGTATGGATGAAACAAAATGAATCGGAGGACAAAAAGCTTGGAGACTTATTTATTTCCGTTCACTAACTTAATTCAATTTCGTTCACCCACTTTACTACACGGTGAGGCAATATACTCTCTCTCTCTCTCATCTAGGTCCCCCCCTCCACCTTCTACTTTCCTCCACTCTCTCCTCTCCTTCCTCCACCCACACCATCCTCCATTCCTTCTTCCATTCACTCTTCCCTACCTCCACCCTTCACACTTCTCCATCCATTCACTGTTCCCTCTTTCCACTCTTCACTCCCATCCCCCTTCCCCTTCCACTCCCCTCCACTCCCTCTCTCCACATACAACTGATAAACATAGTCTTGTAGAATATTATACTTGTTAATGTAATTGTGTGTGTGTGTGGGGGGATTCAATTTCCAGACCTGACTGTATTTATTTTGATTAGGTTCTATTTTATTTTATCCTCTTTGCCAATTATCTGTCTGTTGGCTGCTTGGGCGATCGGTCACATCTCTGTTACACACTGTTGGCAAGGTCTGGGCATATAGTGGCTCTGTTACTCACTGTTAGCAAGATCTGGACATATAGTGGCTCTGTTACTCACTGTTAGCAAGATCGGGACATATAGTGGCTCTCTGTTACTCACTGTTAGCAAGATCTGGACATATAGTGGCTCTCTGTTACTCACTGTTAGCAAGATCTGGACATATAGTGGCTCTCTGTTACTCACTGTTAGCAGATGGGACATATAGTGGCTCTCTGTTACTCACTGTTAGCAAGATCTGGACATATAGTGGCTCTGTTACTCACTGTTAGCAACATCTGGACATATAGTGGCTCTGTTACTCACTGTTAGCAAGATCTGGACATATAGTGGCTCTCTGTTACTCACTGTTGGCAAGGAAGGAGGCCAGTGGCATGTGTAAGATCCCTCAATTGTTCGTGATAATCTTGTCTTGGATTTAATTATAGTATAGTATACATTTGAAGAAGCTTCCCTTAAGATTGGACCCCCATTTTCTACTTCAATCCCATTCATTCTATCATATAATTACTACTTATTAGAGATTAGACAAAGTAATATACTCAAATACATTTAAATAAGTTTCCCTTTAAATATTACAAGACTAAGTAAAGTTTGTGTACATTTAAGAAAGTCTCCCTTAAGTTTGAAAAATAATATTATTCCCATTTTCTCCTACACACCATTTTCTTTGTGTGGTGAGAGAGAGAGAGAGAGAGAGAGGTTAGGCGATATTCAGTCAGTCAGATGTAAATAAACAGTGAAGATGGCTGAGGGATTGGTGGTGGAGTTTCAGAAGTTCCATAAAAACTCCAGACACTTAAAACGATTACAAAGGGAGACATTACAGTCGATTGAAGATGTTGGTGTGTCTGGGAACCTATCTGAAGGTGAGGATATAGAGGAAATTTGTTATTTTATGTTGAAATTTGACGCTGCTTTGAGTCGAGTTTGTGTTGACGTATAAAAAACCTGTCATTATTTACTTGTATGATTAACTTTAGAATTTTAATATAATTTTACGGGGAGTTTGTAGTTATTAATGGCTGTTGGGTTATTATGTAGTGTATATGTAGAGATGCTCTCTCTCCTCTTCATCAGGTGTCATGTAAATATTTTAAATGTTTTTTTTTTTATATTTAGAGTTTTTAAAGGATGTTTCGTTGTTGGAATATTTTGTAGTTTGTAATGTTAGAGTTTAAAGAACATCTGTTGGGTTGAGGACTTGTTGTGTTATAGTTGGATATGGTTTACAGTCCTTATGCCCTTATTTACCTTTTGCCCTCTGCCAGTTCATGCCCTACCCTCTTTTTTTTTTTTTTTTTTTTTTTTTCCGCCACTGATCGGCTCGCTAGCCGCCCGAGCGATTGGTTACATCTGTCACGCACTGTTGGCAAATACTGGGCATGCACCGGCTCCTGAATGTACCTGAACCCACTCCAGTGTTGGTCAAGTCTTGTCTTGAAAGAGCTCACACTCGGTGCTGTCACAACACTCTGGTAGATTGTTCCAAGAGTTTACAACCCTCACTCCGAAAAAGTTTGCCCTCACGGTTTTCTGGATTGCGGCTTCTTCAATCTTGAGCTGTGACCCCTTGTGGGGCGAGCGTCTGCCAGCTCCAAGTAAGGACACTCGACTGAGTAGTGCCCCCTGAGATGCTTATACACCTCAACTAGGTCGCCCCTTGCCCGTCTGTAGTATAAGCTAGGCAAGTTCAGGCGCTCCAATCTCTCAGGGTAGCTGAGGTGCCGAAGCGCAGGCACCAGTCTGGTGGCCCTCCTTTGAACATTTCTTGCCCATTAGCCCCTCCCCCCGGAATTTTATGACTGCTCACCACCAACCTAACCTAACCTTACCTAATATAAACAGCTTCTTGGATTAACAGAGAGAGAAGAGTGAACTGGCAGGGAATGAAATTGTTATGGGGTAAATTTCCAGGGGATGAACGGGCTATGAAAACAAAACAACTGCATGTTTATTCCTTGAAAATTTAATACATACGTAGATAGTTCACATACCCGGACAGTAGCAATCATTAAGTTATTTCAAGCAAGGAAAATCCAAAGGTTAATTAAAAGCTTATTTCACCTAAGCAGTTACCACTTAAGTTTGAATATACGAGTGTTGTTGTTGATATACGAAGGTCATGTCTCGGTGTGACTGCTTCTATGACCCACAACAAGGTTCTCTAGGGTTTAGAATTAGTGGGGTGATTGGTATAATTTCTGTGTATTTTTTTAATGGAATCTTTACATATATAATTTAAATCTATTGTTATTAGAGAAAGGCAGATAAAAAAAGACCCTGTACAGTGATTAATGCTCGGGGTCGTGTATGTTCCGTCACACAAAGATGCTACTCATAATCTCAAGAAACTTTTAATTCCTCCGTCTTATTCTGGATATTTATTCGGTAAGAGGCGAGATTTATTTGATGGTACAGTAAATGCTCGTACAGGAGCTGGTCATTAGAGGAGAGTGATGTAGAGTATTACCCAGTGGTGTACAGCTCAGTAAAATGCCATTCTATTCTAACTGAAAAATAATGTAAGATTCCTGGATTAGGTTAGAGTAACATACTACAGTTCTTGTATTAGGTTAGATTAATTCCTGGATTAGCATATAATTATTGATTAATCACATAACCCCGCAGCCATCCAAAATAGTCTCTGTTTGCATACAAGGTGGCGACGACATTTTCTCGACACACCTATGGTAAAGGTTCAGTTTAGTTTCGTTGTCATCAAGGAGGAAGTACAGGGTATTTAGGGTCGTGACTGAACCAATGACGAGGGATAAAATAAACCAATCATACGCAGTTAAAAAAAATATTGTTAGGTTACCAATTTATTTATTTTTTATTGTAAGGTTACCAATTTATTTATTTTTTATTGTAAGCTTACCAATTTATTTATTTTTTATTGTAAGGTTACCAATTTATTTATTTTTTATTGTAAGGTTACCAATTTATTTATTTTTTATTGTAAGGTTACCAATTTATTTATTTTTTATTGTAAGGTTGCTAATTTGTTTTTGGGGTTTATTTTGTAAGGTTATCAGTTAAGGTTTAGTTGGTTTATTTTGTCTCTTGTCATCTATGGTTTAGTTAATATTTATTCACTAAAATCATCATACAGGTTTATGATTAGATAGGCAGGTATGTAAATTATGTACGTACTAGGCTGTGGGAGTAACTATGTGCGTGAAGAATTAAAACCAACCTTTACCCTTTTCTTAATATTTTTGTAACTTTTCCCTTGATTAAAGTATCTGTGAAGTTCCCCAAAATTATCCGTAAACTTCCCACCCCAAAAATATCCGTGAACTTCCCTCAAATTATCCGTAAAGCTCCCACAATAAGATATCCATTAGGTTCCCACATGTGCTGCATAGACGGTGGGGTCCAATGGGTCTCAAAACGAACGCTGCGACTCCTGTTGTCTCGGTAGGGTTGTCTAAAGCCTCCTTAGTCCGTTGTGCCATATTGTCTCACGAAATCATAAACATATTTTTTCATGAAGTGTGTACAAGATCTGTAATTATTTCCTGCTGTATTTTGACGTGTAAATACAAAATACGGAGACAGCCTCTATTGATTATATGGAGATCGAAGTCCATTACGTCGAGGGTTCACTGGGTTAGGTTAGGTAGACAAGGGTGAAGATATATTTAGTGGCTACCATAATAATCTCAACTTTGACGTAAGGAGTCCTTCTCTTCCTAACTTCCATCTGATTGGATTATCCTGAATGACAATTGAATCACTTTGATTGACAATTGGATCATGAACCACATGACCTGAGATAATAATGCAGCTTAGGGTAATTTTAGATTCACAGCGAGACCTCTATTTAACGGATTATCTGGAGACGATAGAGTCGAGGGTCAGTTAGTTGCGAAACGTCCAACTATTGAATCATATTAGGGATACACATCTGTTATATCAAGGGTATATAATAGGGTAGATATAACAAGGAAGAACTATAGTGTAATTATTATAGATCCCACAAAGACTTTTAGGTCAACTTGAACCTCATGTTTATACTATCAAGAACTGGAACACATTTGTACAAGTTGGATAAATTTCGAAGACTAAACTTGAGGTAGAATCAGGATTATATTATTTATTGACTTATTATTTATTTTATTTTTTTCTTTTGTAATTTTTTATTTTTATTTTGCCTTTGAGGATGGTGATTTAACCCTTTGAGGATAGTGGTTTAACCCCTTGATGACTATAGTTTAAAACCCTGGAAGACTATTATTTAACCCTCTAGAACTCAAAGGGATTAACCATCTACTGTGAAGCACTGTATTAGGTTACCTGCAAGGAGCGGTGTTGCTGTTAGGTGTGTTTTAATCATGCTAACACGAGACAGTTTTACCCACCTTATCACTCAAAGGTGTTTAGTAATATCTCGCCGAATAAAACCTTGAGAAATTATCAAGCTTTGGTGTCGGTATGGCTTTCAAAATACAGTAAAGTGAGTAGTATGGTTTTCAAAATACAATAAAGTGAGTAGTATGGCTTTCAAAATACAGTAAAGTGAGTAGTATGGTTTTCAAAATACAATAAAGTGAGTAGTATGGCTTTCAAAATACAGTAAAGTGAGTAGTATGGCTTTCAAAATACAATAAAGTGAGTAGTATGGCTTTCAAAATACAATAAAGTGAGTAGTATGGCTTTCAAAATACAATAAAGTGAGTAGTATGGCTTTCAAAATACAATAAAGTGAGTAGTATGGCTTTCAAAATACAATAAAGTGACTTAGATCAAGGAATTACTTACATATAGCTGTGAAACTATGGAGGGGGGGGAATTTCTTATTAGGTCACACTCACTACTACCTGTACTACTAAGACTAACTGTCAGATCTGTGACTGCTAGGAAGGGTAATATGACAGGATGGACTGCCATGCCTGGAACAAGTAATTGACTGATCTGGCGTGCAAATAGATTAGAATTGATGTAGTGTGTTAGTTTATGTAAGGTTTATATTGAAGTGGGTGTACAGGTAGTGCATTGAGGTTTGACGTCAAGTGGAGATCATAGTGGGGGTTGGGGGGAAGGTTTTATATAATGTTATTAGGGGTGTGACTGTGCTTATGACTATTGTGTTGTATGTATGTTCGTTCGTTCGTATATTTAACCAAATATACGAACGTTTGGAAACTTCTCGTGATCTTAAATAACAATGAATAGTTTATTATTATCAAAATTCTACCTTTGGACTGTTTAATATTTATCCTGACAGTAACGCAGCTGACAATACATCCACCAATCACAATCGCCTTTACATACAGCCTTACTTAACCAAGTATTGCCAGGTAAAATTGCCAGTACGAGACCCAAGGTGGGTCAGTTCATCTTTGGTTGACTGTACATACATATATACATACATACATACATACATACATACATCACTTGTGGACACTAACAGCACGACACATGTCCAAACAATACTCAATTTCTCGTCACGTATATCAACAAACATGGAATTGGCATAACACACTACCCAGCTCTCGGAATTATCTCACGTTCAGCTGATGGGGGTGATGGGTACATCCCCCTTTCATATCATGTTGAAATCTACTAACTAAGCAGATATGAAACGTGCTGACATACAGTGTTTGTAAACATATTCTGGTGAAGGAAATATAATCTTTTATTTTGTTAGACGCATTTAAGCAACAAGGAAAATTCTTCATACCGGGAAGGCCATGGAGGTATTCTCTCTCTCTCTCTCTCTCTCTCTCTCTCTCTCTCTCTCCTGCTTTGTATGTAGTTGATGTGTATCGTTGTTATGATTCAGTTAATGTACACCTGATGTACTGTATGTATGTATGAGTGAATACCTGTGTACGTGTGTTGTCTCTGTAAGTAACATCCGGATACCATTTCAAGAGATGAGAGATGCGGTCGCTTCAGTGTGCGTGTGTGTGGACGTACATGTGTTACTTGCAGTATTACCAGTTGTCATTAACACCTCCTGACACGTGTTGGTCAGCTGTTGTTTCAAGTTTTACTAGCTGTGCCTGCTTTACCTCGCCCCCCTCCCTCCCCCCTCGACCTGAACCCCCTCCCCTCGATACCTCCCCCCCCCTCCTCCTCTTCCCTCTACCTGACCCTTCCCACCCCTCAATTGTTACATGACTCCCCCCCCCTCTCTCAAGTAATTCATTCTTTTGACTTCAGACTTTAGAACACACTTATCTGTCTCACTTAAGGAATTTACATCAATAGGGAGCACTTATCAACCTCACAATCCAAACTTAACACTTATATTCTTAACTTTAAAGAACTTAGATGGCAAGGAGCACTTATACTGTATACCTCACTTGAGGAACTTAGTAACTTACAAATATCACGGAGCACTTAACTACGTTACTTGAGGCTCTAATGGAGTGTGTTGGATGAGGTGCTACATGGTGGAGGAGAGGATGAGGTGCATTATTTATGGTCTTGGTAGTCAGGTGCTGCGATCTTCTTACCGTTGTGTGTGTGTGTGTGTAAGAGACAGGGAGGGAATGTTTGTGTGCGTGTGAGAGTATGCATGTGTGTCTGACAAAGAGAGAGAGAGAGATAGGGTGCATGTTTGTATGTAAGAAAGAGAGTTTGTGTATGCATGTATGTGTGTGTCGTGCATGACATGGGATCACACATAAGGACTATAGCTAAAGGTGTGCTGGCAGGTAAAGACATTGACCTACAGTATGGGGTGGTGGTGGAGGGTGATGGGTACGTCCCCTTCCCCCATCATAAGAGTCGATTTTGTACCTGGCTTCTCGAGTGACAAACCCGTCTATGAGTTTTGTACCCAAATGGCGTTATGTAGCCGCTGTAATCTAATCTCTCCTTACATAACTTAACCTTGTCTAACTTTACCTTACCTTACCCATATCTATCTATCCTTACCTATCCTAATGTAGACTTATCTATTTATCTATCTAACCTTACCTATATCTCTATCTATCTAGCCTTGCCTTCCTTTACCATATCTATCTATCTATTTGTTTATGCATACAGTAATATTTCTCTATCCATCTATATCTGTATATCTATCTATCCATCTCTCAATCCCATCTGTCCACCTATCTGTCTTATCTATCCAGGGTAACAGAGACTCTCCTTAGGTACTGTTAATGCCAGAGACTCGACATCACTCACGGCCAATCTTCCATCACACCTTTGTAAACAGAGTGGTCGAGTCATAGTGGTGGCAGGGGGGGGTCACCAGGTGTGTTTGTGTGTGGGGTGGGGGGAAGGGGGAGTTTTGGTTGGGTGTGTGCGTTATCCCTCAATACAGTGGGTTGTGGTTGTAGTGTGTTATTATCTGGGGTTATCTTGGGTTGTGGGGGTTTTAACTATTCATTTATATAAATAATTGTTGTTGTGGTTATATTTTTTATACGTGTTGTTGTTATTATTATTACTGTATTATTCTGAAAGACGTTAAAGAGTTAGTGTTGTTCTTTAAGTGTTGTGTTACAGAACAATTGGGGGAGATCCGGTTTAGCGAGCTTGAGGTAAATGAGCTGCGACAGGTGCTGGGGGTACCGGTGTGTGTGGTGGTGGGAGGACAGGACGCATACGGCAAGGTGTTGGTGGTGACCCGTCTGCTGGCTGAACAGGTCCTGCCAATAGTGACCCCTACCCTGGCTCCTGCTCCCTCACACCCCTGGCGGCCGATAAGATTCAAGCACTCTCACACCCGGACTGTCTCTCTCGCTCTACCTGAACACGCGCCCTCTGCCGCCGCTGGTTATGAATTGGTACATTCTCTCCACGCCCACTCCCGCCCCTGGGGTACAGTGCCCAGGCCCGATGTGGAGTTAGACCAGCGAGCTTTACAGGTACGTCTTCGCCAGGTGACGTTCCTTAACAGACCCTCCCTCCCTCCCTCCCTCATCGCCTCTTTGTTTACATACAGTCAGCTGTGTTTACATGTGATCAGCTGTTACTCTCCATGTGTGTACAGTTGCCTATTTGCTTATATTTATTTCTTATTTATTAGTGAGTTTTAGGTACTGGGAATATATACAGATGTGTTTAAACGTTATTGAATCCAATTGACCTAAAATTTGATAGTGAAATGTGTCTCTCTCTTAGGCAGTCTGTCAAAACGTTATCAGTCATTATCTCCCAACACAGACACAAACACACACATATTCCTCAAGGACTCACTCCCTCTTCCTCTACTCAGGACCCGGTAATGGGAAGTGCCATGCTGGAGGTAGGCCTGAATCACCCACTACTGAAGGATGGGGTGCAGGTGGTAGTCACGCCCACGGCCGCCCACACCTCCACCATCACCTTCCTCACTGGTCTCTTGCCTGAGGTCCTTCCCATCATGGTGTATGCTATCTCCCGGGACGAATTCTCAGCCCACGTAAGTACCTGTGTCTGTCTGGGTGTTTGTTTTCATTGTTTGCTTTTTTTTATTTGTGTTTAGTCTTGTTTGGTTTGTTTATCTTATTGTCTTTGTTTGCTTCCTTCCATGACTACTAAATTTTTCTTGTTTGACGTTTGTTTACCCTGTTTGTTTGTTGTTGTTTTGGTTAGGTTAGGGTGTGTTAGGACTTGACCCCAATAATAATAGGTTGGGTTAGACTAAGTTAGGTCAGGTCACACTGTTAAATTAGGTTAAGTTTGGTATGATAGGTCAGGTCAGGTTAAGCAGTCATTAAGAACACTGCACACTTGACCATTAGCCACAAGACGAGAATGGAGAAATAATGTAGTAGGTCTTCTCTCTCTCTCTCTCTCTCTCTCTCTCTCTCTCTCTCTCTCTCTCTCACACACACACACACACACACAGCAATGCTAGATTAGGTTAAGTTAGATTAGGTTAGCATCAGGTTAGTAAGGTTGGGTTAGGTTAGGTTAGCATTAGGGTGGTGGCGGGGCTAATCTTCAGGTGATCCGACACGCTTAATAATTACAATGAGTATCTTACCGTCTCTTCAGCCATGGGACAGTGCTTGACATATACGTTTATTATCTGCTGATGCAATTTTGTTTCCTGTTGTGACTGTGTGTTTGTGGAGGGAGGGGTAGATAGTGTTTGTGTGTGGCAGTCATTAGTTTGCTTTCCCAGGACAATATTTAATTTAGTATATCTTGAAAGGTCACGAGTTCAACCCTTCTCATGACCACACTCACGCCCACCCCAGCCTATCCTAGTGCAACCTATCCTATCCCATCCTATCCTATCCTATCCTATCCTAGCACAGCCCAGACCAGCCCAAGTATATACTCTCTCTCTATCTTAATGTTGACTCCTAATTGATGTTAACTGAATGTAAATAGGACCGGGTACAGCTAGTAGGAGGGGGGGGGTATCTTGGGATTTTTTTGTGTCTACTATAATAGGAGAGAGAGAGAGAGAGAGAGAGAGAGATTGTGTTTACTCTGGGGTCGTAAATTTTGTCTCATTGGATTCATTAGATAGGTTGGTTGATGGTGTGTGTGTGTGTGTGTGTGTGTGACAGACACAGACACACCCCACACACTTGGGTGGAGTGTGGTATAGTTGTGATTGTGGTAGTGGTGGTAATGATTGTAGTGGTAGTAGTAGTGGTGGTAGTAGTAGCAATAATAGTAGTGGTAGTAGCTGGCAAATAATAGTGGTAGTATTGGTAGCAGCTGGCAAATAATGGTGGTAGTAGCTGGCATATAATTGTGGTAGTGGTGGTAGTGATGGTGGTAGTGGTGGTAGTGATGGTGGTAGTGGTGGTAGTGACTTAGCAACACAGGGTCACAGCACACACTGACAGCCGTGAATAGCCAGGGATTATGACAGTGACAACAGGAGCGTGACGCGGGTGTACGTGTGTGTCGCCACTACCACCACTACAACTACCACTAATCCTACTAATACAACAACCATTATATGTCACCTATTATCACTACCACCACTCCTACGACTACAACTACCACTATTACTACCAGCAGCAGGTGACGAAGCAGCACGTGTGTGTGTTTAAAGTCACAGGACACAAGTCAATGTTGTGGTTACTGAACTCAACCCCGGGGAGTAACCTGACACACACACACACATACACACACTGTACACACACACACACACACACTGTACACACCTATCATTCTTTTTCTATCAGCATTACCTATCCATCTCAATTTATCTCTCTCCCTCCCTCCCTTCCTCTCCCTCCCTCCCTTCCTCTTCTCTCCCTCTTCCTCCCTCCCTTCCTCTCCCTCCCTCCCTTCCTCTTCTCTCACTCACCTCACCTCCCCTCCCCCAACACACCTGAACTGAGGAGCTCTGGCAGGTGAGGGGAGGGGGGGGGGTGAGGTATACCCGTCAGCTGATCTACCACAACAATAACAAGTAACCTGCCTATTCTATCCTGTTGTTGTTGTTTTTGTGTTATTGTTGTTATTTTTTATGGTTGTTATTGTTGCGTTGTTGTTTTGTGTCTTGTGTTTCTGTAGTTATTGTTATGCTTTTGTTATTGTTGTTGGTGTTGTTATTGTTGTTGTTTTGATGATGTTTTCTTGTGTTTTTGCGGCAACAATGACTCGTGCTGAAGGTCTTGGGTTGTATCTTATGACCTGTTGGTGCTGCTTACAACACACACACACACACACACACACACACACACAGCTGGGAACGCGTGGGTGTTGGTGAGTCATTAGAACCGTTTGTGTCCATGTTTTCCATGACGGGCGTGAAAAAATTTCCCCACAAACGCCCAAAATTTTCTACAATGGCACAAATTCCGAGGTGTGTGTGTGTGTGTGTGTGTGTGTGTGTGTGTGTGTGTGTAAGACAGGAACCAAAGTGTGTCGGTGAAGCCTGTTGTCGTAAGCTTAGTGGAAGGACTAGGTGGTGGAGGGAGGGAATGAAGGATAAGAAAACGAGTGGAGGGAGGGAGGGAGGGAGGTAGGTGGAGAAATCTGAGAAAGGAATGAAAGGTGGGAAGGAAAGAAGGAAGAGAGAGGGGGAGGGAAGAGAGAGAGAGAGAGAGCTTGGGTATTATAAACCCTGTCATGTGCTGTATTGACACTACTAGTCAGCTGATGATGTGTGTGTATGTGAGTTAAACAGTGTATGTATGTATGTGTGTACAGAGCTACTTAGTAAGGCTTCATGTCTCACACACACACACACTTATCACCGTTGCCTTTGCTCCTAGTTCTTCCTTTTGTAGTCCTGTTGGCTGCCTGCCGTGGTTAAGGATCAGTATTTAGGGTTAAAGTGGTTTTAGATTGTCCGGTTTCCCCTACCCCTCCCTCCCTCCCTCCCTCCCTCCCTCTCTCTCCTTCCTCCTTCCCTCCCTCCCTCCCTCCCTCTGTCTGTGGGGGATCGCTTACACAACTACCACCACTACCACTTTCCTCCTTACCCTTCCTTCCTCCTCTTCCTCTACCCATCTCCTCCTCCTTCCTATCTCTGTCTCCTTATCTCTTCCTTCCTACCTCCTGGGGTGGGGGAGCTAATCTTCAGGTGATACAAATTTTCCCCTATACACCTGTGTCTTATATAGTGGTTCGTTATAAAGTAGTATTGTGTTTTTATTATATATCTCGACCAGGGAATGATAGATGAACCATTGCCAAACGTGACTCTGGGTATTGTAGCAGGTCATATTAGTCAGAGATATATGTGTCCTTTTGGAGTTAAATCTTCTAATTAATCCATTGGAGAATAGATGGGGTGGGGGGGTTGTGACAGGAGGGGTGGGGTTGTGGGACAGGGGGGGGTGGGGACAGAGGGGGTGGGGGTGTGACAGATGGGGGTGGGCTAGACAGAGGGGGTGGGGGTGTGACAGAGGGGTGGGGGTGTGGACAGAGGGGTGGGGGTGTGGACAGAGGGGGTGGGGGTGTGACAGATGGGGTGGGGTTGTGACAGAGGGGTGGGGGGGTGGACAGAGGAGGTGGGGGTGTGACAGAGGGGTGGGGGGGTGTGACAGAGGGGTGGGGTGTGACAGAGGAGGTGGGGGTGTGACAGAGGAGGTGTGTGTGACAGTTTTGAGGGGTGTGATAGAAGGTGGGTAGCTGCCTAATCTACCTACCTACGTGATTATACAAAGCTGTCATTAAATTAAGTCATTCTCTCCAAAGGTCTAAAAAGTTCGTAGTCATTGAGTGTTTTGTTGAAGTAAAGTACAGTATCGGTACGTGCGCCTCCTTGTTATAATGAAGCAACACATATATAAGCTGACCGGTGTCTGTCCTTTCAAAAACCCCACACTGTTTACATCTTGAGGCCCCATCATCCCGTCTTTACCGCGTAGAGACTAAAACGTTGATTGTCATTGGCTGAATCGAGGGACGTCAGATGGCAGTTCAACCCCCTAGGTGACTCCAATAACAGCGGGGTGTAGTGACGTCATCGGGGTGTGTGGCTCGACCCGTCTAACAGGTTCGGATTAATAAACAAGAGAAGTATTTTTTTTTATAAGCTGATTGGCTGTGTTTGTTGTGGCTGGTTGGCTGTGGGTTGGTGGCTGTGTTTGTTGTGGGTTGGTGGCTGTGTTTGTTGTGGGTTGGTGGCTGTGTTTGTTGTGGGGTTGGTGGCTGTGTTTGTTGTGTTCTGGTTGGCGTGGTTGGTGGCTGTGGGTTGGTGGCTGTGGGTTTGGTGGCTGTGTTTGTTGTGGGTTGTTGGCTGTGTGGTTGGTGGCTGTGTTTGTTGTGGGTTGGTGTGTGTTTGTTGGATTGTTGGCTGTGTTTGTTGTGGGTTGTTGGCTGTTGTTTGTTGTGGGTTGTTGGCTGTGTTTGTTGTTGGTGGCTGTGTGTTTGTTGTGGGTTGGTGGCTGTGTTTGGGTTGGCTGTGGGTTGGTGCTCTGTTTTGTTGTGGGTTGGTGGCTGTGTTTGTTGTGGTTGTTGCTTTTGTAATAATAATAATAATAATTAACGGTTTATTGAAAGAGCTTGGCAGCCACAAGACAGAAAATATACAGTTACATATTTGGGGAATGGGTTACGAATTACAAATAATATACAAGTGACATAAGTGACACAAATAAGACATATAGTAACTTAGATGTATAGTAACTTAGATGGGGATCAGCTCAAACTACAGTTCATTTCAACATAGTGACAGTGTAAGGAGCAGTGTTTACTGGGAGTGAATACACTGATTTATTACATGTTATTGATAATTTTTACAATGGTTGGGACTGGGCTGTTCTTATAGCGATCAGTTCGTGCACGTATGGGCTGGATGCGGTTGTGGTGTCGAACAGGAATTCTCGGACAGGGGATCTCAGGTGGTAGTAGGGGCCGGTGTCGGGGATGGTGTAGAAGCTTCTTACCAAATTTGCAGATGAGGCCGTGGTGATGGTCAGTGAGAGTCGAAAGGGTCAGTGTGTTGAGCGCTTCTTGATATGTGGTGTAGGAAGGGGAGAGAATAATCTTGCATGCCCTCTTTTGCACTTTTTCTAGGTGTTTACGTTGTGTGGCATTTAGAGAGGAAGACCAGGTGGGGGAGGCATAGGTGAGCTTGGGAAGTATGAATGTTGTGTATACACTGAGGAGCTCGTGTGCGGGAACTCCGAGGGACTTGAGTCGGCGGAGGAGGTGGAGACGGAAACTGGAGGATTTGACAACTTCACTGACGTGTGGTTTCCAATTTAGTTTGTTGTCTATGGTGACGCCGAGGAGCTTCGTGGAATCTACAACCTGGAGTGTGTTCGGACCTAGGGTAATGGAGGGAGGTGGGACAATGTCGGAGGAGAGGTTGATGTGCATAACCATGGTCTTGGTATGGTTGATGGTGACATGGTTGTTGGTGGCCCAGTTTTGGAGACTGTTCAATAAATCCTGAAGGGTGGTATAGTTGGGAGCAGAATTGTTGACGCTGATCCCAATGGTGGAGTCGTCGACATATTTCCAGCGAGCAGGGGTTTCTCTTAGGGCATCATTGATGAGCATAAGGAAGCAGAGTGGTCCCATCTTGGTGCCTTGGGGGACGCCACAGGTGAGTGACTGAAAGGTGGAGACAGCCCCTCGGAAGCGTACAGCTTGGCGTCGGTCACTGAGGAAGTCTGTAAGCCATGGTATGAGATTTCTCCGAAGCCCGAGGTCAATAGCTTTGTTTATGATTATATTGTGGTCGACTAGGTCAAACGCTTTAGTGAAATCAACGAAGGCGACAGCTACAGACGTTTTTCGTTTCTCGAGATGGCGGTATATGTAATCGAGAAAGCTGACAAGACAGTGAGTGGTGGAGGAAGTTTTCATGTTGCCAAATTGCTGAGGGTCTACGACTCCTGCAATATCAGCATAAGCCCTGTCAAACACAAAACTTTCACAGATTAGGCTGGGTATTGGGGTGATTGCAATAGGTCGTAGCTGGTTTAAGGTTTGTGGGCTGGTTGACTTGGGCACTGGTGGGGTTGTTGGCTGTGTTTGCTGTGGGTTGCTGGCTGTGCTTTGTTGTGGGGTTGTTGGCTGTGTTTGTTGTGGGGTTGTTGGCTGTGTTTGCTGTGGGTTGTTGGCTGTGTTTGTTGTGGGTTGGTGGCTGTGTTTGTTGTGGGTTGGTGGCTGTGTTTGTTGTGGGTTGTTGGCTGTTGGCTTTGTTGTGTTGGCTGTGTTGTGTGGCATTGTTGCTGCTTGTTGTGTTGGGTTGTTGGTTGTGTGTGTTGTTGGCTGTGTTGTTGGCTGTGCTTGTGTTGTGTTGTGGCTGTGCTTGTTGTGCTGTTGTGTGCTTGTTGTGGGTTGTTGGCTGTGTTTGTTGTGTGGATGTTGTTTGGCTGTGTTTGTTGTGGGCTGTACGTGTTTGCTGTGGGTTGTGTTTTGTTGTGGGTTGCTGGCTGTGTTGTTGTGGGTTGTTGCGTTGTGTTTGTTGTGGGTTTGCCGTGGCTGTGGGTTGATGTTTGTTGTGGGTTGTTGGCTGTGTTGTTGCCGTGTTTGCTGGGTTGTTGGCTGTGTTTGTTGTGGGTTGTTGCTGTGTTTGCTGTGTGTTGTGCTGTGGGTTGTTGGCTGTGTTTGTTGTGGGTTGTTGGCTGCAGTTTGTTGTGGGTTGTTGGCTGTTGTGCAAGTTGTTGTTGCTGGTGCTGGCTTTGTTGTGCTGGCTGTGTTTGTTGTGGGTTGGTGGCTGTGTTTGTTGTGGGGTTGTTGGCTGTGCTCTTGTTGTGGGCTGTTGGTGTTGTTGGCTGTGTTTGTTTGTTGTACACATGTAGTCGGCGGTGGGTTGTTGGCCGTGTTTGTTGTGGGTTGCTGGCCGTGTTTGCTGTGGGTTGGTGGCCGTGTTTGTTGTGGGCTGGTGGCTGTGTTTGTTGTGGGTTGCTGGCTGTGTTTGTTGTGGTTGTTGGCTGTGTTTGTTGTGGGTTGTTGCCGTGTTTGTTGTGGGTTGTTGGCTGTGTTTGTTGTGGGTTGTTGGCCGTGTTTGTTGTGGGGTTGGGGCTGGTGGCTGTGTTTGTTGTGGCTGGTGGCTGTGTTTGTTGTGGGTTGGTGGCTGTGTTTGTTGTGGGTTGGTGGCTGGGTGTGTTTGTTGTGGGTTGGTGGCTGTGTTTGTTGTGGGTTGTTGGCTGCTTGTTGTGGGTTGTTGGCTGTGTTTGTTGTGGGTTGTTGGGCTGTGTTTGTTGTGGGTTGGTGGTCAGGCGTTTGTTGTGGGTTGTTGGCTGTGTTTGTTGTGGGTTGTTGGCTGTGTCGGTTGTGGGTTGTTGGCTGTGTTTGTTGTGGGTTGTTGGCTGTGTTTGTTGTGGGTTGTTGGCTGTGTTTGTTGTGGGTTGGTGGCTGTGTTTGTTGTGGGTTGTTGGCTGTGTTTGTGGGTTGTTGGCTGTGTTTGTTGTGGGTTGTTGGCTGTGTTTGCTGTGGGTTGTTGGCTGTGTTTGTTGTGGGTTGTTGGCTGTGTTTGTTGTGGTGCTTATGTTGGACGGGCAGATAGCCGGGGAGTCGATTGATTATGGATGAATACCTAGACCCTAGTCCCTCATAGATCCCAGTCCCTTATAGACCCCAGTCCTCATAGACCCCAGTCCTCATAGACCCCAGTCCTCATAGACCCAGTACTAATAGACCCCAGTCCTAATAGACCCCAACTAGATGGAACTTAACCATGAGATACTGGGGCCCACTAGGACTGGCACAAACCCGCGAGGGGCCCTTTAGTGCTTGTATAATGCAGTGCCACTCACCAGGAAGCTCTCAGTAAAGCTGTCAGGTCTCAGTCGGTCAGGATTTGCATATATTGAGCTGATTGGCGCAAGGAGGTGAGGTTATGGATCAAGGTGGTGGGTTGTTAGTGAAGCCAGCTGGTTAATGGATGCCCCAGCTGGTTAGAGAGAGAGGGGTCAGGTGGTGGAGACAGATATAGATGGTTGAAGAGGAAGGTGTGCTGGGAACATATGGTAATCAGTGCTGATTGTTTAGCAGGTAGTCAGGTGGGTGGGCGGGCGGGCGGCAATATCACCTGGCTATATAACCTGTTCTTCCTCAGCTGCTCTCTCTCTCTCTCCACACGATATTAGGGTATGTTAAGTGGAAGACTAAGGGAAACGCTACAACAAGGGACATTAGGATAAGTGAACTTGTAGGTAAGGTGAGCGAACAGGAAGACTAGAATAGGCGAAATTAGATTAGGTAAACCTTTACACCTGGTAGCTGGTCTGATGGTAATGGGCCCTAGTTGTAATGGGTTCATGTGTAATGGGCCCCAGTCTTAATGGGTTCATGTCTAATGGGCCCCAGTCTTAATGGGTTCATGTTTAATGGGCCCCAGTCATAATGGGTTCATGTCTAATGGGCCCCAGATTTAATGGGTTCGTGTCTAATGGACCCCAGTCTTAATGGTTAGGTTATTTTGGGGTCTATCAGGACTCGGGGGGCCCATCGGGACTCAGAAACCATCCTAGTAGTAAACAAAAATATTGGAAGCCTCACAAGTGTAGTTATTTGGTGAAGCCTCGGGGCAACCTTTTGTTTTTTAGGGGTGTATGGCTCCCAATGGCCCCGCCCCGCCCCGCCCCGGTGGTGCTAGGGGAGCCGTGTATGATGGTGGTGGTTGTAGTAGTTTTATAGTGATAGTCGTGGTCGTGGTATTGTGGTTGGGAGGAGGGGGTGGTAGTCGTGGTGGTTTCATGATAAAGATGGGGGTAGTGGTAGTTGTTGCGGTTGAGTAGCTTGGCTGGTGGAGGAGGGGGGTGGTAGTTGTGGTGGTTTCATGATAAAGATGGGGGTAGTGGTAGTTGTTGCGGTTGAGTAGCTTGGCTGGTGGAGGAGGGGGGTGGTAGTTGTGGTAGTTTCATGATAAAGATGGGGGTAGTGGTAGTTGTTGTGGTTGAGTAGCTTGGATGATGGAGGAGAGGGGGTGGTAGTTGTGGTGGTTAAGTTACTCTGATTCTAACGCTAACCAAACCCAACTTAACCTAATCTAACCTAACTTAACCTAACATAACCTCTACCCACCAAATAGCAATAGGGTGGGTAATCTTTAGGTTATATAAGCTGGGGTACAAATTAATAATATATCATGCATTTGAGTACAGCTATATTGTCCGAGTTACTTTACTTGGAAAACACATGTAAGATCTTTCTAAATGTGATTGTTGGTGTCAGATTTGGTCTTGAAGCCATAAAACAGCTGCCGTAGGGTACAAAAGACTTTCTTACCTCGAGATTCTTCTTAAGATGTCGCTACAAAACGTCGTCGTCCTTACCTGACATCCTTCCCTCGGCGAGCTATAGGAATTGTTGATGTTTTGTTTGATTCTATTCATTGAAATGCATTCATAGTGGATAGTGAATCAATACACACACACACAAACTCATGCTGTCTCTCACACACATACATGCTTACTCACATGCTCTCATATACATACATACACACCCAAACACCACAAACGTATATACAGCACACACACACACACACACACACACACACACACACACACACACACACACACACACACACACACACACACACACACACACACACACACACACACGGTATTTCTTGATCACCCACTTTTCGAATACCTTAAGCCTCCTCCTCCCTCTACCTCTCAATACTCCTACAGGAAGCGTCAGAACTACGTGAACTTCGGAGACTATACCCCAACATATCCGTGCTGTTCATACGCGTGCCCCAACTACCGGAAACCTTCAGCGATGATCTACCAGAGTCGGAGCAGCACGATATCCTTTGCAAGCTACGTGTATTACCCTCTCCAGTCAGGCCAGACCAGCTGAACCACCCGCTACCTGTCATCTCCACAACATCTTCACGATCGCACCCACAAGTTCCCATCCATCTCTTCCGAACGCTATGTGATGATCTTGGTAGGTTGTGGGTGTGTTATGTAAGTTGTAGTAGGTCTTGGTAGGTTGTGGGTGTGTTATGTAAGTTGTAGTAGGTCTTGGTAGGTTGTGGGTGTGTTATGTAAGTTGTAGTAGGTCTTGGTAGGTTGTGGGTGTGTTATGTAAGTTGTAGTAGGTCTTGGTAGGTTGTGGGTGTGTTATGTAAGTTGTAGTAGGTCTTGGTAGGTTGTGGGTGTGTTATGTAAGTTGTAGTAGGTCTTGGTAGGTTGTGGGTGTGTTATGTAAGTTGTAGTAGGTCTTGGTAGGTTGTGGGTGTGTTATGTAAGTTGTAGTAGGTCTTGGTAGGTTGTGGGTGTGTTATGTAAGTTGTAGTCATAACCTGGGCAAAATGGTCAATATAAAAAGAATTATGAGGAACAGGACAACTAAACTACCCTACCTGACCCTACCCTACCTGACCCTACCCTACCTGACCCTACCCTACCTGACCCTACCCTACCTGACCCTACCCTACCCTGCCCTACTCTACCCTGCCCTACTCTACTCTACCCATGACTTTACTCTTATTAAATACAAGATTGCAGATTATCATTATTATTACCTTCATTTATTCCATCATTACTTATGTTTTTTAGTGTAATTGTTTTATTTATTTGTCCCCAGGCTATCTAACCTTGACCCCAGCACCAAAAAAGTTCCGTTGGCGCTTAGTGGAACACAGTTACCACGTGGAGAGTGAACTGGTGGATAGTTTTGACTCCTTCTGTAACGTTGTGCCGTACATGAGGATGATTTTACAGTCACACCTCATCCACGCCTCCACGCTACTCAACCAGGTACTGTATGCTTGTATTTGTGGAGTAATGAGGGTGTTTGGAATAGCTCGAAACTGATCATCTTAAGCTCATTGTTAACGTGATGATTAAGTTACATTGATCGCTTTGTTCTTTACCTAACCTAATCAAATCAAATTTAATCTAACTTGACCAAACTTAATCTAATCAAATTTTAACCCAACCTAGCTAAATTTACCCTCATATTCCTCTTCATTACAGGGTCACAACCGCTGCATGAGGAAGTTTATTCTGTTCGCTTTCGACATGGCGCGGGAAATTCAGATCACCCCGCGGAGAATCACCTACGCCCGGGAGAAAGAGGCGGAGCTCTACGAAAGTCTCATGGCCATAGCATCGAGCAAACAGGACGAGATTCGTATCGTGATTTGCGACACCATTGCCAAGATGAAGGACGACCTGTTGGATAAAGCCGCAGTTTATGAATTTAAAGGTTTGTGGTTAATGACGTCTTAACTTTAACAATAATAGAATAGTTAGATATCCTCTTTCGGATTATTATTGTAAATTGACGGTGGAAGAGAGTTGGGACGACATCGAGTATGATTTGACCTACATGGGTGCAGGTACAGATACATTCTTGAGCTTGTACATGCCAACAGTGTGTAACAGAGAGCCAGTACTTGCCAACAGTCCACAACAGAGACATGACCAACCATCCAAGTGGCTACCAAACAGATCAGTAGTGAAGATGATAAAGTAAATTAAGTAAAGTAGTATTCTTCATGCCTTCTCTTGCAGCTCAGTGAGTTGGATAGCCTCCTCACATCAGTCTGGATATTTTCCTCCTGATCTCCATAGTGCATTGCTCATCACACGTTTCATCCCCATCGCTGACGTCTTTAATGTTCCTCGATGTATTTTTTTCTATACACGGAGCAGAAAGAGTCACGAGGGAGGTTGTCATTAGTATTTGAAAGCCCTTACTTGGCCTCTCCACGTTTATCATCCATCTATTTCTCATCATCTCTCATCCTGTTTATTCTTTTATCTGTTTTATCACGTCCTGTGTTTTTAATCGGCCTCCCCAGACTCGCAAGTTTATTTTGAGTATAAATGTAACTCGGGATAATCATTGGTGTGTGTGTGTGTGTGGTCTTTAGATAAATATAGTCTAACTAATAAACACTCATATTTTCTTCTTTACTATATACTGTACAGCTTAAATATGCATCAATTCCACACATAATTAAAAAAATTATGAAATAAATTACCACAAGACTCATTTTCACTTATCACTTACAGAAGCCGAGAATCTAACGACGGGGGAGGTGGTGTGCGGGAGGGAGGTGCGACAGTGCTCGGGAGAGATACAGGAACTGGTGATTGGCTCCCTCAACGGCGAAGTGGGACGTCAGTTAGTGGATCGCGTCGACGTTATGAGAGACTCGTACCTGGGGACCTTACAGCGTTGTCTAGAGAGTCTGGAGAAGGACTGTCGGGCTTGTGGGGAAAATCCTCATATTGGGGACGCTCTCAAACAGGTATGGTATGGGGGTGGTGGTAGTAGTGTTGGGGTGATGGTGTGTTGGTGATGGTGGTGTGTTGGTGTTGGTGGTGTGGTGGTGGTGTGTTGGTGCTGGTGGAGTGTTGGAGGAGGTGGTGGGGTGATGGTGTGTCGGAGATATTGGTAGTGTGATGGAGGAGGTGGTGGTGTGTTGATGAGAGCATTGGGTCGTAGATACTGTGCCTACATTTCTATAACACCTTCCCTCCAACACTTCATTATAACCATCCGCCAACACAATATTTCATCCCAACTTTACTCCTGTTGCCTTATACAACACACAATTCTTTAATAACTATTCTTCAACACAAGTCACATTTCTATAGTCTTCCTCACACACACACACACACACACACACACACACACACACACACACACACTGCATATTACCTTGGCGGGTCTTCATCCTTTCATAGAATCTCAATTTATGTAAAGGTGAAGTGATGACGTGCGGTTTCTCTTGTTTTGTTTTGCATACTAACTTTGTCAGTGGTATTAGTGGCAGTGACTTTTTTATGACGAGCAGGTTTGATGGTTTGGGTTAGGTTAGGTTAGGTTATGTCATGTTAGGTGAGGTCAGATGTGATGTCAAAAGAGCCGGTGGTTTTTTGTGAGGGGCAATTATGACAGTTATGTAAGGGTATTGAAAAATGTAATCCTGATGTAGATTTTCTCCTTAGAGGCAGAGATATAATCTGTTTCTGAGTCAGGTTTTGTTGTTACCTCTGTCTCACTGCTCATGCACTGCGGTATAATAGGGATAACCTGAAGATGTGACACTCAGTTTATTTATTAGATTAATCTGACTTAACCCAACCTAATGCTAACCTAACCTTATGTTATTCTATTGATAATCTTGTTAACTGGGATGTTGTGTTATATGACCGAGTATCACATTAAATACAGTACTCTTGTTAAGCATTGTGTCGTATTGCTTGTAAACCTAACCTTAACCTCGCTACCCGACAGATGGTCAACGCCGCGTACCAAGTGGAAGTGACCGTGACCACCTCGTCGTCAGTTCTCCGGTCACTGTGGGAGAAGATGAAACAGTTAGTAGCAGCCATGCCCGGTAGAACGCCGCCGGTCGTCGATGCCGAGTGGAAGAGAAAAGTCGCCTCGGATATGATCTCTAGCCTATCAGAAACTAAGCTCACCAAGAGTATATGTGCACAGGTAAGAGTAAATAGTTTTGATAGTTTAAAATGGAAAAATATTAAACCGTAAGTCTAAATAACTTCATAGGTATAGCTAATGTAATACTGTACCCAAGGTTTGAAGGCCCTCCCACATCTCTAGAGCATTTCCCCCTTGTTCTCTCTCTCTCTCACTTCTTTACACATTTTAAACTTAATTATTATAAAATGTGTCTAAATTTAGATTAACTTTTACCATCTTTGGTGCTTGTATGGCATCCAGGGCAAATCTGAAATCTGTATGGTATGTGGGACAAAATCTGAAATCTGTATGGTGTTCCTGTTACAGTTCAGAGAAAGATTGAAAAACAGCCATGATTCCTTCCTGGGGAGTCTGCGGCAGCTGGAAGTGCAACTGACCAATCGGCTGGAGAAGACAGAAGGTCAGCAGACGCGGATAAAGAAAGTAGACGCCCCCAAACTCGCCAGACTGTCGCTCGAATCTACGTCACTCAGGGATATGATTCTCTTTGGTAAGGAAGGGTTTTATAAAGTGTCGCGTTTTGAGATGAGTTGAGATTCGAGTAATTTTGTTTGTTGTGTTAAGTTCGTGTGTTTGGGGGGGGGGGGTTATTGCTACTTGATTTGTGACTCAGTATTGATTTGAAATAAACAAGTATGCATGTACACTGAATGAATCTTTGACCAATAAATTCACATCAAATCGGTAAGTAATATCCGATGATGAAAATGACATATGTCGTGTCTGTTGCTCATTGCGTGATATATGAAAATAACTAAATCTCCTCAGGGATGCCACGACTAGACCGGGAGCTTGGTAGGGGACAGTATGGGGTCGTGTATGGGTGTGAGGCTTGGGGCGGGTATCATCCCTGTGCGGTCAAGTCCTTGGTGCCCCTCGACGAGAAACACTGGAATGATCTCGCCATGGAATTCCACTACACCAGGTTAATATAAGTCTTGTTCCTACTGTTGGAGGTTAGGTTATATATGACACCTCATACATGAATATTAAACCTGACTCTTTCCTCTGGTGTTAAATTTGTCCCCGTCTTCATTGATTTGTTTTTATCTCGACTACCCCACGCTGACGCTTCTTGCCCGTGGTGGCCGCTTAGGACTGTACCTGAACACGAGAAGATCGTCGCTCTGCGTGGGAGCGTGATCGACCACACCTATGGCCAGGGTGAGACGCCCGCCGTGCTCCTCATAATGGACAGACTCACACGTGACCTCTACTCAGCTATCAAGCACGGCCTTGATTGGATCTCCAGATTGCAGGTGAGAAATTTGTAATAACTTAGTGCAAGAGGAAGGAGCTTATGAGAAAGATTTTAGACTGAATGCAAGAGAAAGTAACATGAGAAAGATTTTAGACTGAATGCAAGAGAAAGTAACAGATAAGAAAGATTTTAAACTGAATACAAAAGTAACTGATATGATGCAAGGATTAAAAAGTCGCATTATCATCATCATTACATCAATAAAGACAATATGATCATGTAGAATACTAGTAGTGTATGATGAATGATTAGCTAGTGAATATAATTTTAGATGGATTACTGTGTTAAGATTTCAGGTCTTGGGTAGTCACTTTAGGCAACGCTGGATGGTAAGACTTTATCATTCCGCCCGACAGATCTCTCTCGACGTGACGCAGGGAATACGTTTTCTCCATTCTCAGGGTCTAGTACACAGAGATATAAAACTGAAGAACGTATTGGTAAGTACAGCATGTTGTTTCACTATTCCTTAACCTAACCATACCATAACATACCTATCCTAACGGGTCAGAGTAAGGGATTAAGTTATCATACTCAAGGGGTCAGAATAAGGGGTTAAGTTATCATACTCAAGGGGTCAGAATAAGGGGTTAAGTTATCATACTCAAGGGGTCAGAGTAAGGGATTAAGTTTTTATACTCAAAGGGGCTAATATAGTTATTTATGTTATTTTATGTGTAATAACTGAATATGGTTCTACTGAAGAGACATGAAGAATAATCATGTAGGAACATGAATATCAGGGCGGGATAAATCTTTCCTTTGAAGTGCCTTATAATCAGCTTATGTATTTATGACCTTAGGTGTTTAGACGTGGATGTATTGACGGGGTTACTTACTCGCTGCAAAAAGGATCTTTATGGTCTTGCATCAGATAATACGACACAGTGGACAAGGATTTTGACAAGAGGAGTGGCAGTGTTTATATTGAAATTCATCAGATCCACCTCCTTAAAGATACATTTTTGGAGCGAGTTTACACTTTATTTCCACTAGTTAATTCTCCGTAAATTTCAGTTGGACAAAAACAATCGAGCGAAACTAACGGATTTGGGATTCTGCAAGCCGGAAGCCATGATGTCTGGGAGTATTGTTGGCACGCCGATCCACATGGCCCCCGAGCTCTTCACGGGCCACTATGACAACAGTGTGGACGTGTACGCTTTCGGTATACTCTTCTGGTACATCTGTGCTGGACATGTCAGACTGCCACTCATCTTTGAACAGTGCCAGTCCAAGGACCAGCTGTGGAACTGTGTCAAGAAGGGTAAGTACATAACAGGGATACTGTACCGTACTGTAAAAACATTCTGTAGTTATCTTATGATGTGATGATTAGCCCCAGATTATTTCACCTTAAGATTAAACACTCAAATGCTAGCAAACCTAATCTAACCTAACCTAATCCCTCCCAGGTAGCATTAGAGTTGTTTAATCATTGGGTAAAAGAAGATCAGATTAGACAAATAACTTTTGTTGTTACTCAGAAAATGGTGCTGAGTATTACCGAACATTGTACCACTACATATCCCACAACTTGTGTTATGATCGTGTTGCCTAAAGATCCCGTCCCCTTTCACGGGGTTGCCTTTCAAATTTTCATACAATAAATTTAATATCATTGTCAAAATATATGAATACCTGTATTGTATATTGTAAAGGTGATTTAATTATAGCTAGTGTCAGGTAGTACTCATCATGCTTCTAAATCACCCAGGTGCTAGACCAGAACGACTCCCTGTATTTATGGACAACTGCTGGGAGCTGATGCAGGAGTGTTGGGCGGGCGACCCCTCCAAGCGGCCACTCCTGGGTGACGTTGAGCCCAGACTCACCGAGATCATGGAGATGGACGCCATGAAGATAGAAGAAGACGGCAAACAGGAAACGGGAGAACTGAATGAGGACGACAGTAAAGTTGACTCCGCTGTAGATGCAACTGAGCAATTTGGTGGTTTCCTAGGTTAGTGTAGAGGGGTTAAACTGTACTGTGCTGGCTTTAATTAATTAGTATAAGGTTAATGTCTTTCAAGTACAGTAGTGGAATACCTGGAATACCTATACAGTAGACACATCTTTCATATCTCATGTCCACTCTTGGGCTATATACAGTAGATGGCTAATTCCTCTTTCTCATCTGTAGATACAAACTGAAATAGATCCCTGCTATTTTGTGTATATATGTACGATATTATTAGCACCGTAGTGTAATGTTAACAAAGATGCCAGATGCAGGGACTAGGGGCTTATAGTAGTGGTTGAGCTGTGTACTAATGTGGGGGTACTACCGTCCTACAGCACTTGGGGATGTGTCTCAGCTGGGGAACACTCTTCACTACAGCATTAATGGTACTCTATGATGGTGAGTAGTGGTAGCAGCAGTTGTTGTAGTAACCAGCATGAGTGAGTAGTAAAATATAGCCTCACCAGTACTGTACTATGAGGGTATGTAGTACAGTATAGCCTCACCAGTACTGTACTATGAGGGGTATGTAGTACAGTATAGCCTCACCAGTACTGTACTATGAGGGGTATGTAGTACAGTATAGCCTCACCAGTACTGTACTATGAGGGGTATGTAGTACAGTATAGCCTCACCAGTACTGTACTATGAGGGGTATGTAGTACAGTATAGCCTCACCAGTACTGTACTATGAGGGGTATGTAGTACAGTATAGCCTCACCAGTACTGTACTATGAGGGGTATGTAGTACAGTATAGCCTCACCAGTACAGTAATGGTGAGTGAGTAGTAGTAGCAGCAGCAGTAGTGGCCATCTGTGATATTAAAAAGTTGCTGCCCATTTTAGTTGCCACTCGACCTTCTTGTCACCGGTGTCAGCTGATGTGTTGCAATCATTAAGACTTTTAACAACCGTACAGAGATAACACAACAGTGCAATCAAAAACCTCGAATATTTAACAAGAGGAAATGGGAAACAAGTCCAATGTCGGCTTCTGTGTCGCGATTATCAAGATTTGGTGAATTTTTTAATATTGTTATAAATGGATTTTCTTCTTTCTTTTTTTTTTAGAATAATTACACTCAGTCTTTTTGTCTCTCAATTTGTTTTGTTTCTGTGTTTACCGTCATGTGTGTAATGGTATATATATATCTATGTATTTGAAGATGTATCAATTCCAGTCTTTGTCACGAATGGATCAAATATATGTGTTCAGCAACAGGTGCCCTTATCTGATATGAGTGCCTCTTGAACATGGCTTTATAGTTAACAGTTTTGAGATTACATTTTCTTAACAATTTTTTTTTCACCCAAATTTCCATATTTTTCATGGAAATTAAAGATGTTATTTATTGTTTGTTTTTTTATAGTATTTGTATAAGCTATAAATCCCCAAAAGCTGTCATGCTGGGAATGTACTGTATATATATTTAAAAGAATGTATTGTATAAGAATTGTAGATATTTCATGAAAAGTAACTTATATCATGACAGTGTATGTGGGCCAAAGTGAGAGTTACGTGCAGCTGTTATGAGTGGATGTGTAGCGAGATATTTTATTTTATCACGACGGTAAACTTATCTATTCAGGGATGTCAAGACGCATTTTTTCACTACTTAGGGCACGACCGAGCGTTGCCGAAACTTGTCGCTGGTGTGTAGTCTCCTCTCTGTGGTGTAGGGTAAGAAATACAGGTAACTTATCTGTTTACAGCCAACTTGAGACTCTAGTAACTTAAAAAATAAATTTCTGAGTGGTGTCATGACCTTGTTATTTTATTTATATATATATATATATATATATATATATATATATATATATATATATATATATATATATATATATATATATATATATATATATATATATATATATATATATATATATATATATATATATATATATATATATATATATATATATATATATATATATATATATATATATATATATAAATGGTGTGATTTTATGTTATTGGAGTATTGGATATAATTACTATGGATTAAGTTAGTAAGAGTCATCAATATACAGTGAAACCTCAATATAATGGACTTTTCTTTATATATATTGTAGTACAGTATATATAATCCATTAAATAGGGGTTTCACATGTAATGCGCCCGCGGTATAATGTACTTATCTCTCCATATAGTCCGTTAAATAGAGGTTTTGCCGTACTGTAATTTCACATAACTGCTACAGAGAGAACACTTGTAATACACTAACAAATATGTACTGTAATCATTCTTCATAATCAGAATGACACTTCTTGACTGTCTGGTATATATTCAGCGGTTCCGTAGGTATGCTGACGTTACTCATTTTTGCGATCATTCCACGTGGCCGTACGATTTGGTTCCGTGTGTTACCGGTAATAGGGAACGTGTTTAAAAGAAGGTGTGCTTGGAGGTTCTGTCGGGATTACTGTCTGAGTGGCGGGGAACAGTATGTATATGTCACCTGAATGAGAGAATATATTAGTTAAGAATGACATAGAATTACTATCAATTTTATAACTCCTAAATAGTATAGCTACACACCCAGGAATATTAATATAAACATAGATCTTGTTACCTTAAGTTATGGGAATTATTGATACTATATCAGAGTTTAATGTATTTCAATATTTAATTCTTTGAAGGGAATCAAAGTGAAAATGAGAATAATTGTGTGGGCTCTAGGCAGCGAGTTTTTGTTATTGGTCGGGCTTTCAAAGAGTCTAGGATATTTCTAATGATGACAATTTTCCTTATTTAGTTTGGTGCAATTTTAAGACACTCATCTTTTTAGTAGACATACACAGGATCTCAATTTATCTAGTACAAACAGTAAATGAAATAGCAACTGGATTTTATTATTTTCTTCATTTGTTTTGTTGTCAGCCAGATATGTTAGTATTTTTTTAGCACATTTCACCAGATGGTAGGTTTGATCTTGTCCATCTCCCCAAGCAGTAATATCGTGGTTTGTCTTTCACTTATCATTGGTCTTCTCATATGTAGGCTGTGAGGTGGCCTGCTAAGTCAGATGTTATATATTAGAAGGGAGTTTAATTATACTTCCTTTACGTGTGTGTGTGTGTTAACCAAGGCTCGGTTCTATTCATGGATTCTTGTCTTGGTTGAGACAATTGGCTGCTGTAGATTTTATCAAGTCCATTACAGTACCAAGGAACTTCAAATGACTTTAACCCCCCAAAAAATTATACAGGATGTCTAAAAAAAAAAAAACTTTATACACACTGCCTTATAGGTTTTTAATAGAGATCTCACGATTGCTTGAACTTTAAAACAGCAACATTGTCTGCGTGTATTATCATAAACACACAAGTGGACCAAGTAATAGTACACTGAGTAAATCAAATATATGTAGTAAAGTATGATTTAAGATATACTATCATAGTCTTTTGGGACCAAGTATGTATGAGTCCTGGGATAGTTTTTTTTTTTTCCTGGTCTTAATGTTTTATAATAGACTGTGTCCTGTACTGTAGTGACCCAACATTAATTCTTCCACTAAATATCAAAGATTAACACAAGCAGAGAGAACTATTGTTCAGTGATGTTGGTGAATATATTTTTTGTATGGGTGAGGGTGATACTGTGTGTGGGTGGGTGGGGAGGGAGGTGATAAATATAGCAGTCCTTGTGTGTGTAGGGGGTGAGAAGTAATCCTTATGTGTGTGTTGAGTTGGATAATGATAGAACCAGTTTGTTGTGTAGGATGAAACTCAACAAAAGTTTAAGGTACAGAATATGCTTTTTGATATATGTATGTACTGTATATATAAGAACCAACCTGTATTGTATGAACGATGGTGAGAGTATTATTTCCAACTATTTAATTCTTTGTCATGACACGCCATGTGTGTTGATGGAAGAAATATGCTGAAACTCAAGTCATAATGTAATGTTCTAATTACAAGAGTTATTATTATATGTATCATTTAGTTTGGAGCAATGTGTCACTGATGGCTTGGTGTAATGTGACATATATGCTCCCCACAGGAACTGGTATGGCAAGAGGTATACAATATTAGCTCTCCGGGGTTTAAACTATGAAGGGGTGAGGGTCTTTGAGCTCTGCAGATATATTTGTGATGGAGGCTGATTATTTTACCTCTTAAAGGGCTAGTGTAAAGAACTCATTTGGAATTTGTAATTACAGATATTGATAATTAATCCTTTCATGCATATATATACAGTAGTCTGTGTATGTTGGAAATTAATTACCATGGTACAGGTATTGTGCTTTAGTTATTTAGAGTGGATTACATGTGTACAATTTACCCCATCAAAACTACCAAAGTTTAAAAAAAAATCTTAGTTATTCATTTGCTAGATAATTAATATTCCCAAGCTTTGTACAGTACAGTAGTGTAATAAATGAAATATGGGCATCACTCTTTAAAAAAATATTGCCCCAAAGTGTTCACATTCTGCATAAACTGTACAGAACTTTTAGACACTTTACTGTGTGTTAATGTACTACAGGTCAGTTGTGGCCAGCTGTTAACTTGCCAAATATTGCTTCCTTCACTTACAAACAATACTAGTGGACATAGTCTTAAGAAACAAGTTTTATATACAGTAACAATGATCAGTAAACAAATGGACTTCCTTATGCAATATGTAGTTATGTTAGTTCTCGACTGTATGTGAGGTAATGAAGTATGACTTGTAAAAGAATTGGTGTGAGTTTATATCCAACATTTTGCAATATATGTTCTCTTGAAGACTAATGCCCTGTATATAAAAGTAATTACATGAGATTTGTTATGAGGATTTTGGAATGTGAATGAAAATCTAATTCAAACTTTGTATAAGAGGAAGTTTTGCCCATCGAGCTTAATTCTGTACTGTTCCTTACCAACACTATACTTACCTTGTGTGATCCTGTTCTCTCCAACCATACTTCTTGCCATTTTTTGTTGCTTCTTCACTGTTCTCACATAATTACCCTCTCCATTACTGTAAATCTTTCCCAACTACTAATTGTTTCCCCATCAGTCACCTGTCCCCCACTCCTTCCTACACTCTCATATCCCTCCAATCCTCCATCTCTCCTTCTATTCATTATCTCTTCATGCTTCCATCTTTTCCTCATGTTCCTTATCTCTCTATCTTTCCTACCTTTAGCTGATCTATACCATTTCTTCCTTTGATGGTCACCTGAAGCTTGTGTTGGAAAAGATTGGATTACACGTCGCTGGTATTTGAGTCCTTTTTGTCGGGTTTCTCATGTACCTCGTCAAAATGTGTTCCTTGATATTTGGATTTTAGATTAATTTTGTTCATTAGCATACAGATTTTTATTTATTTTTTCCTGTTTATGTTGCAAGGTGTAATTTTTATTTTAATATCTCAGACAGTTTCCGTTATTTTGTCGATAAAACTTTGGAAGAACAATTTTATATAATGAATATTTTTCCTGCTGACGTTTCATATTTATAAACAAGTGAGATGTAAGTCGTCTCGTGATGGAGGCGTAAAACTCGCGCTTGTATTGTAGATGTGTGTCATTACAGTTGAACCACCAAAGAGTCTTCCTTCTAACAAATTGTCCTCCAAAGATCTATAAACTATGAGTAACTATAAGCTAAGGTTTTTAAATGCTATTGAAGTACAGGTGTAATACCTAATACTGATAAGACACATTGTAACCTGATTGTTTTTTTTTTTATTGTATTTAGAAGAGGAAGAGATTGTCAGCGTTAGAATGAGTGTGATGAGGAAGAGTTATGCCAAATATTAATAAACTGCTTCATTCAGTGTGTTCAACTAATACAGTATTGTGGTTCATTCAAGTTAGTCTACCAACTGGGTGATGGTGGCTGTACTGTACTGTCTCTTCCTGCCAAACTCGCCAGACGGCTGTACTTGGCAACGGTACAGTACTGTGAAACTTGACTTGTGAATCACTAATTATCAGGCAATTTAGCTTTAGTAATCTATGTATGATAATGCTTTCTGTTGTAAATTATACGATGCTCAGTCATAGCCAAGTAAGTTTAATTTTAAGAACTGTTCTGTATTTCTATAAATGAAAATGGCTTATTGTAAATGTCTTGGGCAAGTGTTGGCTGTGAAAGCTTAGGTTCGGGCCACTGCCGGAACAGTACCTTCGTGGACTTCACCAGACGCACCTTATTGACTCGAGTCTTAATTTATATTGGCTCTTGTGTCTCTTAGTCATATAGATTTTTTCCATTGTAAGAATCTGAAGAGCCAAGATTGTGGAGACAAGCCTTGTGCCTATTGGTTATTATTGATGTTGAAACAGTTTATTTATAGCTAATGCCTTAAGCTTTCATGCTTTGTTGCCCAGAGACCAGTGTTAGGGCATTAGTGGCTCCTATACCTTAGTATTTTTGTCCACTATTTATCTGTGATAGACCTTTTAACCCCCTCAACTTGACTGACTGATGCACCATAGATAATAAACCAAATACTGACTAGATTGATGGCTTGTGTGTACCAATAACTGTGCTTAAAGTGTAATGAAAAAGTGTCTTAAGTTTTTGAAACATTTAATGGAAAGGTTTGATAATGTGAGGTATTAATGGTTTCTGCCTTTGCGGCCAACAGTGTGTGTATAGAGATATTTAAAGCTCGTCTGAACCTCAAATCTTCACCAAGGAGGACACGATACAGTTATTGCCAGGGTGAGATGGTCTTATCGTACAGCATCATTTAGTTGAGTGAGAGAAGTGAATATTACTTCATGGTCTTGACGTCATTTTAAACATCCATCGTGTAAGAAAGACACAGCCAACACGAGGTAAAGATCGATTGTGTTCAAGAAGAAATTAGTTAGCGTTTTGATATACTTGGCCTTCCTTATTTACGGTGCTGTGCTGTTGTCATGTTGAGAGGGTTAAGAATACTGTCTTACAAAGTTATTAACAGTTAGCAATAATTGAATCTTCATTATTTTGTGTTTGTTTCTCTTCTGTTATCTTAGAAATAAGTCAACTTGTAAAATCAAATTGTACTTCAGTTAAATATTGTAAATTCATTCATTGTAGGCATTACACATTGTTTTATGTTAGTTTGGATTATTATATTGTACAGTAATTTCATAAAACTAAATTGTAATGATGACAATTAGAGGAAATGTTATTGGAGTCATCACTTACGTGTTGGGAATGATGAGGTAAAACAAGACGAGTATTCTATATTTTTTTACCATTAGAAAATTAGCCGTTTCATTCTATGATGGAACTGTCAGTCACCCACCGTATTTCAGTATATTTTTCATCGTGCAATTATTTAATGTAACCATAACTTGCCTTTTTTTGGTCAGTTTGAGGGAAAAATTTTGGTTTGTAAAGGGAATAGGAAGATTAACAAGAAAATTCAAATACCTCACTTAATATATTAACCAAAATGTGTCTGTTATGGAATTCTGGTACAAAAGTTATTAAGATCTTCAGATGTTAGCTTCCTGTTTAACCATTTCACTGTCTTAAGTAACCAAGTTGATTTAGAAAATATCCCAAGTATTCAGTCAAGATTTTAATTAACATATCTGCAGGGTTTTAATTTCTTGCAGAGTTTTAAGCACATAATATATTTTATAAATACAACTAGACAATCCTTTAAGTTCACTTTTACTTCTCCTTTATGTGTAATTATTACTGAAATGTTTTCTTTGGAAGTGACAGAGAAAACATTAAAATATCCCTCTCTCACTCTACCCATTTACCCAGTAGATTGATAACTCATAGTATAATCTATAATAACTTGAATCAATCTCCCTAAAGCAGTTGTCACATTTCAGAGAATATAAACTGTATTGGAATTATAATGAAAACATACACTAACCTGAGATAGATGGTCACGTGATTAAAATAAATAGCATTACCAAGGTTGAAGGAGAGTTGTAGGATTATCATAACATATTTAATGCTTTTTAAATCACTTATATTTCAAAATAACAAATGATGAAACTTATTGCCTAGGCTTAACATGACAAGGAAATAATCCACATTATATAAAGCTGCAGTCGGTTATTACAATTAAGATTTTAGGCTGAGAAGTTAGTGCACATTTTGTAATCGCTCAGTTGTGCAAAAAATAAAATAAATAAAATCAGATTGCTTTTGACAATTTGTATACGTACATACTTTTAACATGAAGCCCTGGTACTTAGTGAATAGAAAAAATCCAAATATGCAACATTTATGAATGAAAAGCCTTTTAGATATTAATTCCCTCACTTTTACATCTAATGAGTGTTAAGTAAGTTTGCAGAAAATTTTAATTCAATACTGTCTATAACTACCTTAAGTTTGTCTTCATTCCTCTTCTGGTTCTAAGTTAATATTATTACCAAATTTAGCATAAAGATCTCCCTTTAGCTGAGTCATGGTGTCTTGTAGTTCACTGGCTCTGGTGTTGAGGTTACTGATATCATCCTGTAGCCCCTCTCTCTGGGAACCAATGGCCTCTTGTGCTTCATCCTGCAAAATAAAAGAAACATTAGGTTTTTTGTTAGAATGATTGCATGAACAGACCTAACAAAGTGTATCAGTCAACAAATAGTGAATGTGTAAGGACATCTTTACAATGTTTGTTCTAAGATACCCTGGACACATCCCACCTGTCCCTCTTGGGTTACAGAAGTGTAGCGTAGTCATTTATTAAATTTAAAAGCCTGCGTCTCTATGTATGAAAATTTTCCGAGGAACATACAAGAATTTCTGGGATCCAAGAATGCATCCTGGCTTTTCTCATAAGGAGTCATGAATGAATAGTTTGAGAACAAGATCAATTACCTGCTGTACTGTATTAACTAAAGTCAGTAAAAGATGACCTACTCCCCAGCTGTGGAAAAGTAAACACAGCATAGTGAAGGGCTATGACTAGAGACATAATCGAGATCATTAATAATTTCAGCCTTTACGAAACAAACTAATGTACTATATAATACACCCCAGTACATACATAACATCTCAACTACTGTAGTACCTGAGTCTTCATGATAAACACTTCCCCGACCATGAATGGAACTTTTTCGTCGCTGTCTAGAGTCATCATCATCTCGTCCTCTGCATCTTGTAAGTTCTTTAAGTCATTCTGTATAAAGAGAAAACACACACATTAAAGTTTATTAGTGGAGAAAATACATTATTGTTGACCATAAATTAATGCATCTTGCCCTCAATAAACTTTGCCCCTAATCCATCTTAACTTCAATCCATCTTGAACATAATCCACCTTGCCCTCAATCCATCTTAACTTCAACAAATCTAGCCCTCAATACATCTCATCCCCAATGCATCTTGCCGTCAATAAATTTCGCCTCCAATCCATCTTACCCCCAATGCATCTTGCCCTTAATACATCTTGTCCTCAATGCCCTCCCTTACCTCCTTAAACTTCAGCTCCTCCTTGACATCTCCGTGGCGAGCGTTACACCGGGCGAATCTGTTTATCTTCTGCTGGTCATCGTAGGTTATGTGAACGTCTGAGTCCTGCAACACGAGAGAGGAAAAATTTGATTAGTATTGTACCTACTGAATAGAGACATGAGAATTGATTGACTGGTTGAGACTTAATGACACAGACTGACTAACTAAAACTGATTGACAGACTAATGAACTGAAACTGACTTGACTGTGAATGACTGTACAGGTAGCTATAATGTACCTCAAAAAGTGTGTATATAGGTGTGTGTGTATGTGTATAGGAGTGTGTGTGTGTGTGTGTAACACCTCTTCATTAACGACCAAACGAGCAGTGTATTTATATGAAAATTGAAATTACATAAAATAATAATAATAAAACCTTAAAACACTCCTGGTCTTTCAATTACCAAAACCATAACTAATAAAAAAAAAACACTTGTTAAAAATGACAAGTCTATTACCATTCCTGGGAAGTTAAAACTGTAGTCATAAGGTGAAACAAGTGCTGTCTATGTGTGTGTGTAGTCATGGGTGGGTGTCAGTTCTTGTTGTCATGTGGCAGGTAAGAGGTGAACCAACTAGCAGTGGCTCCTCACACACCTAGACACCCCTAAAGCTCCTGCAGGTACAGTGCTATTATATTAAAGGTCTTGTGAAGTGTTGATAGTGTATAGTATAGTGTGTTGATTTTATTGGTGATTTAAACAACTGGTATTTTCTTCAATTGTTATTGACATGAGTAAGTTTTGGAGGATTTATCGTCGTATAATAATGTACTGGACTATTCTAAACTAATGGTAAATGGAAGTATATTTTCCAATAGAATCACATTGTAAAAGATGATATGCATTCCTACAACAACAAAAATCCCCAAAAATATCTTAAAATGACAAAAATCCTACAAAACATTTTCTTATTAGCTTCAGCCACAATTGGTTCTTGGGAATTTTGATCAATGTTCTAGCTACATTATATTTCCTAATTTACAACAACCTTTTCTAATACAACTTCCATCGCAAATGGATATTAACCGAGATAGTAAATTCCTGTAAGAAATTTAAGTAAATCTGCTGTCTACGCGTGTCGTCTGTTTGCTTACAGCCGACCCGCTCGGTCTGAGCATACTTTCACATCCACAAAAAATGTAAAATTACACCATGGTGCTTCAACAAAGCTGCTTTCATTGGTACCAGATATTAAAATAAGTACTTTCTGTTTAATTTGGTGGAGATGGCTCGGAAGTTAGGTAAGGTTAGGTAGGTTCTATGGGGAGGTGATAACTCCAAAACGACTCATTTCTGACAGAAATGAAATACAAATTCGAAAAAATCACACCAAATACCAAGGAAACAACAAAAATTTATGGTTGAACAGTAGTTGTGGCTGACACTAGATTTACCAATGTTTTAAATAAAATTTTTGGCATACACATTGGTTATAAACCAATAATAAACATAGTAAGTAAAATACAGTACAGTACAGTACAGTAAAATACAGCACAGTACAGCACAGCACAGCACAGCACATGGTACTACTTTAAATGTCAGGTTTATGGGAAGGAGCCATTTTAGCGGGAATTTTTTATTTACGATTTTTTTTCTCCCGCATCAACATAAAAAAATAAAAAATTCTGTAGTTAAATAAACCAACCAGACCTAAATTCTTATGACTGAAAGGTTTTAGTTAGTTAGGTTAGGTAGATTAGGGTAGGTTAGGGTTGGTCAGGGTTGGTCAGGTTAGGTAGGTTAGAGTTAGTTTTTTTTTTATATTGTCAACAGTACAGTAAAGCGAAGATAAACACAGAGGTCCTTGTGGCACCATATTCACTTCGAAAAACAAGGGAAAACCAAAAGTATGTTAGGTTAAAATTCCTCCAGCCAATTCTTTCTATTCAAGAGATAAGCAACAGGTTTTTCTATAGAAATTTTCCCATTAATGGTTCTGTCCCATGAGTTTGACATTTTAAGTATTACCTAGTATAATACAGGTAACTCGCGTTTTACGAGCATTTGATTTAAGCGTTTTTGGAATAACGCGATTGTTCAATTAATACCAAAAGCTAATTTACGCACACCTATTTTTGAAATAACGCGCTCAAGACAGTTTAAATTTGCCATGCGTATTAGCCCGGCAGTGGAGTCGCTTGTGATGCCTGGTGAGGTGCTTTAAGTTATTACTATAAAGTCGCAGTCATATCAACATCAACGATTTTAATATTATTAATAATAATAATAAATACTATAATAATGTAACAATAAAGATTATTACTACTAATGATGATAATGAAGTATTCTGTCCAACAACTGTGATGACGTCCAGCAAGCTTCCCGCATATCACTTTCTCAGCTCACACCAGCACTAATTTTTCTCTGCTTTCATTTGCATTGTGTGTTTATCACGTACTTTTTCAGTGTTAAACGCTGTTTTTCCCATTGAGCATGTCTGGAAAAAATTTCCATCTGCCTCCTCTGGGGCGCCTAAAGCTAAAAAGGCATGAAAAACAATCGCAATGGACGTGAAATTAAATGTGATCACCCGCCTTCAAAGAGGAGAGCGTGTGTCGGAGGTTGGCTGCGTGCTTGGTTTAAGTGTGAGCACTGTTTGTACCCTGTGCGGTATATGATGGTTCCCTAGCCTGTACCATTTACATGTACAGGATATTCTTATGGGAAAATTAAGTTTAATTTACGTGTTTTTGAATTAAGCGGTGATTTTCAAGAACATAACCCCCGCGTAATTTCACACCTGTACCTACTATAAACAAAGTAATCAATATGAAACACTATGTCATCATCTATAACAATTATATTACCATAACAATACACTGACACCCATTATATATACAGTAATTAAGAGATAAATAGTACTTGTCTCCAGTGAGTCCGAGAAGCACGATGAAACACATTACATTATTTGTCAACTTAATAATATTGTGAGTATTAGTGAAAGACGTTACTGAAGGAATTAAACATTAAGGTGGTACAAAATGATTGCATTATTTTCATTGTTACGTAGAAAAAAAAATACAGTATAGCACCAAGAACATTTTTCAATAAATTAGGGGATTTCATTTGTAAATCAGGGTGTGGGACAAATTCTTTTTCGTAACTTTGGATTTTTTGTAAACTTAAGCCTTGTAAATTGGGAACTACTGTATATAATGGTTAGGTTTTCTCTATACTGTAGAAGGAAAATATTTTGCGACTCAAGAGTAATATGGTAATGGAATCTTTATTTTAAAACGTAGAAAGCAAACCCAGTACTGTACAGTCAATGAAAAATTACAATAAAGAAGATCTGTAAAATAAACTACAAAATATTGATTGATCGCACGTGAATAATTGCACGGAGGTCAACGAGGCCTCGGAGGAGTTTAAAACTACTCTTACTGGCGTTCTTGGTAACGAGCACGGTTAAAGAAGATAAAACTCAAAAGAGAGCTGTGTATGTTTAGGTGGAAAGATATCTCCAGTAATGTAATATTTTGTACAGCTACCAATCAGGTTTTAGGATCTCTCACTCGACTGACACAAATTTGATCCATCTCACTGGCTATATAAGATCCGAAACAGCTCAGGGATATCACACAGGTATGGTAACACCTAACTTGCATAAAGCCTTCGACACATGTGGAGGTCCTGGTAATAGGATAGGATAAGATAGAGCTCTTGTAATTTTGCCCAAATTTATGAATAACAAAGGAACATAAGTGGAAATTAAATAGATACGCAGTTCTGTGAATATAAGGAGGCATACAGGAAGGTAAGCCCATCAAATTTTTGTATATACAATAAAGAAGAAGTCAAAATGAGTGAGACCCAGGCGACAGGAGAAGGAAGGCAAGTGTCAACAAACATGGAGGAAAGAAGAACACCGAAATGTGTGGAGAATGTGGATTAACAGTCAAGGATAGCGACAAAGCAGTTAGCTGTGATGTTTGTGAAGTGTGGTTCCACATCGAATGTGAAAAATTACCAGAAGAGGTATATAACTTTATGCAAGATGAGGAGGCAGAAGGAGTGTTGATGTGGTACTGCAGTCACTGCAAGAAGGGTTGTGCTAAACTGCACAAGTACATAAAAAGAATTGAGCAACAACAGGTGGAACAAATGACCAGACAAAATGAATTGGTAGGCAAAGTAAATCAACTGAGAGAATTTACAGCACAGGAACACGATAAGAATAAGGAGATAGAAGTCAGGATGGGTATATTGGAGGCAAAATCTATTGAAATAAATGATGTGTTGGAAACAAATGCTAAGAATGACAGGGGTTTTGAAAACAGACTGGAAACCTTGGAGGCTAGAACAGTGGGTTTAGAAGGGAAAGTAGATTCTGGCAGGGCAACAGGAAGTGCCACTGAAGTGAAGCAGAAAGACAACACAGGGAAACCAGAGCCTGTTGGTGAACTTATAGAGGAACTAAATGAGAGAAAGAAGAGGGAAAACAACATAGTGGTATATGGTGTGCCAGAATCTGGATCCCCAACAATGAGCGAAAGGATTGAGAGTGATAAATCTTATGCACTGAACCTAATAAAAGAATGTGGCATCACTAGTGGCCAGGAGATAATAGTTAAAGTGATTAGGCTGGGTAAATTTATCCAGGGAAAAGCTAGACCTATGCTAGTCAAGTTATCTACTGCAGATATAAAGGCCAACCTATTTAGAAACATCAGGAACCTGCAAGGTAATATGAAATTCCAAGACATAAGAATAGCCAATGACTTAACTAAAAGGGAGAGAGAAAATGAAGCTGTTTTATGGCAGGAGGCAAAAAACTTAATGGACTCCGGGAAGGGGAGACACAGAGTGGTGGGTCCTCCGTGGAGGCGAAGAGTCGTCAAAATAGGGGTCCAAGAGAAGTAGTGAGGCTCAAAGAGGAGAAACATGTACATACCAGTAGTGTAAATAGTGTAAGGAAACTGATTAAAAATAGGAAAAAACAAGAACAAAATGTTAATGTAGGTAAATTTCTTATTATGTTTAGTAATGTGGATGTGTTGAGTCCAGACATGTTAATAGAGTTAAATGCACAGTTGAAGGAGATGGAAAATACTCTGTAAGTAATAGCCCTACGGGAGGTAAAGCCAAAACACTACAGATATGAATGGATTACAGCAGAATATAACCTAGAAGGTTATGACATTATAGAGCAAAATCTCCTTAATAAGGAAGGGAGAGGTATGTTAATATATATTAGGAAAGGAACCAAATTTTACAGTGTTGAACTTGAAACTAAGTTTTGTGAATATTGCTGTATAGAAGTGCCATGTAGTAGTGGTAATTTACTATTTACCTCCATTTACAGAAGCCCTAATAGTGATGAAAGCAATAATAATAATTTGCTCCAACTTATGCAGGAAGTCAATGATAAAAATGTGCTTTATAAAATAATTGTAGGTGATTTTAATCTTCCACAAATAAATTGGAGTAATTATACTTCTGTAATGGGACTGAATGATGTTGGTACCATGTTCATCGAGAAAGTACGGGACTGCTTTCTCACTCAACATATAGAGGAAATCACCAGGATAAAAGGAGACAACACCTGTTGTTCAGTAACGAATAATCTATAGTAGGAGATATCAAGCTGGAGAGTCCACTGGGAAAGAGTGACCATGCCTGTATTTATTTCCATTGTGACATACAGGAGATGGAAGACAAAAGTAAAAAACAAGTGTACATGTATGAAAAAGCGTTTTACCTACTGATGAAGCAAAGGCTCACGATGGACTGGATCCAATACTTATCATTGGAACCAGATATTGAAAGTAAGTGGAATAAGTTCAAAGGAAAATTGCAGGCAGTCATTGACGAGTGTGTCCCTAAGAAGATAATCAGAGGACTGAGGGTTAGCAGAAAAAGAACAAATGAAAAATTACCTATGAACAGGAAGCTCTGGGCTAAAGTGAAGAAAAAACAGAGACTGTGGGAGAGACTGAAAATAATGAAAACGAAGTTCAATGAAAGAGCATGCACAAGGGAGATGTATCTGGAAACTGAAAAGGAATACAGGAGATTAAATAACCAGGTCAGATGGGAAACTAGAAACATCTTAAAACGCAAAGAACAAGAGATTGCGAAAAATGTAAAGGCAAATCCAAAAGTGTTCTGGAAGTATGTACAGACAAAAACAAGAACAAAAGCTAGAATTACAGATCTTTACAAGGATGAGGAAAAAGTACAGAAGACTGTGAATGATCAAGAAAAGGCAGATGTACTCTCAGAGCAATTTTCACGAGTTTTTATTAAGGAACCAGATAGGGGGATACCAACAGCCAACAAGAAAGACGTGCCAGCTCTTGAACACCTGGAGATAACCGAGGGCAAAATAAGAAAGGTGATTCAAAAATTGAAAAGACATAAGTCTCCCAGTCCAGATGGGTTACATCCAAGAGTCATTAAGGAGATGATGGAGGAACTACTTCAGCCTCTGAGGATCTTGTTTGAAGGCTCTTTTCAAGAAGGAAATATACCCGAAGACTGGCGTATTGCATATATCACAGCTATCTATAAGAAGGGAAGTAAAAGTGAACCGGGAAACTACAGGCCAGTCAGTCTAACTAGTGTAATCTGCAAATTAATGGAGTCAATATTACGGGAAGAGATGACATCCCATACGAAAAAATATGGATTTTTTAGTAATAAACAGTTTGGCTTCATTTCCGGCAGGTCAACAGTCCTACAGTTGATTAGGGTACTAGACAGGTGGACGGAAATTATCGATGACAGTCAGGCTGTGGACATAGTGTATTGTGACTTCATGAAGGCTTTTGATAGAGTACCCCACAAAAGACTATTAGAAAAAGTATCTAGTTATCGCATTGATGGAAAATATCTTGATTGGATAAGGAATTTTTTAACTAAGAGAAAACAGAGGGTTGTGGTAAATGGAGAAGTATCTGACTGGAGAGAGGTCACTAGTGGGGTCCCTCAGGGTTCTGTCCTCGGCCCCCTGCTGTTTGTCCTTTTTATCAATGACCTGCCTGAGGCAATTAAACACGACAGTGAGGTATATCTATATGCGGATGACACAAAGATTTTTAGGAAAATAGAACGAGATGAGGATTGTGACATGCTGCAGGAGGACCTGGATGGGATGAGGGGATGGACTGAGAAGTGGATGCTGAACTTTCACCCAGAAAAAAGTAAATACATGAGGATAGGAAGAACAAAAGTTGCTGACCATGGATATCATATGTACACCACGATCAAGAAGACCACTGTAGAGAAGGATATAGGGGTAGTCATCGATGATAAGCTGACGTTTTCTGACCATCTAGCTGAGAAAATCAACAAGGCTAATAAAATAGTGGGCATTATTAGAAGAACTTTTGTTCATCTGGATGCACCTATATTCAAGGCTCTGTACACTGCTCTGGTTAGGCCACACCTTGAGTATGCTAATCAAATTTGGTGCCCATATCTCATTAAGGATATTGAAGCAGTAGAGAATGTACAGAGGAGGGCTACCAAATTAGTACCACAGATCAAGGATTTATCTTATGAGGAAAGACTAAGGAAATTACAGTTACCGACACTGGCGTACAGAAGATCTCGTGGGGACCAAGTGGAAACATACAAGATAGTGTGTGGCATATATGACCAGGCATGTACAGCAGGAATGTTCCAGATGAGGGAGGCTGACACTACCCAGGGGAACTCAAAGAAGATCTACAAAACAAGAGCGAGGCTAAATCTCAGAAGACACTCGTTCACGAGTAGGGTTGTCAACAACTGGAATAGTTTACCTGAGTGGGTAGTGAATGTGGAGACGGTGGAAAAGTTTGAAGCAAAATTAGATAAATACTGGAAAAATCAACAACAAGTATATAATTTTAGGGCACAATTATCCGCCACACACAGCCACCGTCTGAGTAGAGAAGAGGCTATTGAGCTGGAGTCACAGGCGTGAGCCTCTTCCAGAAGATCATCTGTGAGTATCTGTGAGTATGAAAACCATGCAGGCTCTTGGCATTGGCTCTGTTGATTGGTTTTAAATCATTTCTTTGCAATGGGAAGCAGATTGATGTTGCAAATAACACCAGTAGCCTGTGTTACCTTATATGACATGTCCATTAGTGTCAATTGGAAACTTTTGCTGAATGCCGATGACAGTGCTCCTTCAGTGTGAGGTAAAGATCTAATGATACAGCTAATGAGTTACATCTGAACTGGAGTCATGTAAACAATGGCTCATAAACAAATTATCCCTACATGTTGGATAGACTGAAGAAAACTCAAAAAGGTCAATGAATTAATTTCAATACTGTATGTAGTAATGAATCCGTCTCATCTGTAACTCGGTGAAATAACTTGAACTAACTCTTGACTTTTGTTTGTCCAGTGAATTTATCAAAGATAATATAGTTAAAAAAAGTAAAGCCAAAATAAAAGTTCTCAATGGAAATACTAAATGCCTCACAGTTGAAGCCTCTATAATCCTTTCCTTGAACATAATTTTATGGTACATGGTGTCTGCAGTCAGGTAAATACACTTTCGTCTTTACTGCTACAACAGACTGGAACAAGTTACCAGATCACATCAAAACAGATTATGGTATTAAGAAATTCAAAGGTAAAACAAAGACATACATAATAGATAAAGCTACAGTAAGAGAAATGAGGGGATTTCTATATCATTAAACCACAGAATGTTGTACTGTGGAAGTGATCACCAGCCTCAGATAGTCCAACAGCAATCTACTTGTTTAATTCTACCAAATAAACCTTCAATTATACTCCCGTGGACATATTACTGATTAGACCAAAAGTACGCCTCAGCAAAGGACCGTCCTGGAAATAAGCAGCTAACAGCTTTGTCGGCTATCTTTGGCACATAGGCCTACGTGAACCGTATATCTACATTGTCTAGAGATTCATGCTCAACTGTATACCTGCATAGTTAATATACATGCTGATCTGTGTACATATTAAGAGGTTCATTGAATGTCATATTTTTGGTGACTCACGTGGACTCCTGCCTTACCTCCTCCTGCACTTACTACAATACAAAAAACAATTCTGGTATGTCATTCATCAAATATAAACCTTAATTCTAGTGTTAAAATGGCTAAATAAGATACAGTAAAGTATTAGAGAGGTAAAACTTGTCTCACCCTTGCCATAGACGTCATGGCTGCCATACTCTGGTAACTCAGCAATACATGATACAGTTTTATACTTTACTGTAATAAATTGAGACTTTACTGAAACACAAGAAATATAATATTTTAATTATTATATTTTAGGAATAAGGTGAATTATAAAGTTATTGAGTAAACTGTTTCTATCACTATTACCATTTACATCATGGTATGTTTTTTTTAATCAACACAGGAAATATCACGTTCCTTTAATTATTATCGTTGTGTTTGATTATGTAGAAAATCTGAATAAATATATCAACATAATTTAATATTTCCAATAACTATAGACCTCATATTTGACTGAAAAACACTCTATAAATTGTTAGTTCAAAATATAATAAATGTGCTAGATCCTGAAATCACAAATGGGCGGAGCATATCACAATGTATCAAAACATTTGCAGCTGTTAATAAATATTTGTAACATGTTCAATAATCTTTCTTCTATGTTGGAATTATTATCATATAAACTCAATTACATTTTGAAAGTATATAAAAATTAATAGTGAACTCAGTGGAGTTTGACCACGCCCAGTTTAAGCTAAAAATTCAATAATTAGAAATATCTCATTTTCCCCTTTAAATTAATATTATGTGTCACAGAGGCATTAGAGTCGACATGTGTCACAGAGGAATTAAGAGCTTGCCAACAGTGTGTAAAAATAAGCCAGTACTTGCCAACAATGTGTAATAGTGAGCCAGTACTTGCCAACAGTGTGTAACAGAGAGCCTGCACAAATCTAATATTTGCCAACAGTGTGCTAACAGACTGATTAGTGGCAAAGATAATAAATTAAACTATCAAACATAGCAATAAGTTTCATAATAAAATAACAAATAAACTAATCTTAAGTTGGAAGGTAATAAAATGATAAATTAATGTGAGTTCTGGTTAGAGTAGTTTACCCTCTCATAGTCTAGGTTTTCTCTTATTCCTTTGCTTTTCCCGCCATTTTATAAACGGCAACCATATTCCGAGCCGCCGACAGATAAGGACAGGCGATGGCAGACTAGGGACTAAAGGGTATTTATAATGTAGGTACGGATAATGAGTATACATGTTGAATACTGAGGTTTTTAAGAGTGAGTTGACTTAAGTTCGTGTTCTACCTTAGGCTGTCATCTCTACCATTGACGTTTCTCTGTTCTGTATCTTGTGGTTTTATCAAATATATAACTGAAAGGAGCTGTGGCTATAATATGTACCAATAACACTAGTCATATGTTCATTGTTCACTATGAATCTGTTTCTCTTGTACAAGAAGGGAAATGGAACAATATCAGGATCATGTGAAGATTAGTTCCCCCAGCTTATTTCCTCTGATGATTTTAAACAATCTAATGCTGACTCGGGGAGAGTGTTAGGTTAAGGGGATTAGTTTTAAGGTGAAATAACCGGGGTGAATAATTTTCAGGTGATCAAGGATTTCATAAGCACATTGTAGTGTTCCATGGTATAACTCCAATGTATCAGTACAGTGCTAGTCGTGATATAGCGACAGTATTACATTGTACAAGAAACTTAACATGACAAAGCAGTGTATTAAGCTACAATTGTGCACTGGTAAAACTACGGTGCACCCCAGAATAGTGACGGTACGCAGCGTTACACCCGGTAAAACACAGCTCGGCGTGGAATTGAGGGAGGGAGGGAAGGGTAACGTATAGGGGATAACATGCAACAGGGCCATGACACTAACATATAGCCTAGCCAAGCTTAGCCACAACGCACACTAAATTAATAAAACTTCCGATCGCCTTTATCGATTTAGCGAACGTTAATTCTTTAAGATGGAAATAAACTTTAGATAAATAAAACCTACGCTTGGGAATCCCTGCAATGCACTCTTGACAGCAAACTTTCCCAAGGAGATATGATTCTGATCACTCATTCAATGGCGACAGGTGACTACTCTAAGTGGACAATGCCGCGTCGGTTTGTGGTGGGGGAATTGACTGCAATAACACTGGGGGGGGGTGGTAATGGGGGAGAGAAGAGATTGTGGGGGGGTGAGGATGGGGGAGCAGAACTTGAATGAATCACCGGCTCCAGGGTTGTAATGGAGGGGAGGAGGAGGGGGAATATCACTCTGCTTTTGTCTAACCTAGATTTCTTAACTCTTTCAAACCTTACGCTATGCAGACCAACACACGCCTTTGATATATTCTAGAAGTTGGTGCGATTTACTTATATAATGTAGGGAAATATATTTAAAAGAATGGCGTAGAACAAAGCGTGTCTGGTCTACACAGCGCCAGACTCTCGGCAGCGATGACTGTAGGGATAGTCCGGGGAGGGGCCAAACTAGGGTCGATATTTTGGCGTCGGTTCGCGAGGTGTATTATTCGCTTAGTCGTGCTTGTGGCCTCCCCCTAGTATGACCTCCCGAGTGTCTTGTGTTGGACTTTTTTTGTGTTAGAACTCTTGTGTTGGACTTAGTGTTGGACTGTTGCCTCACAAACTACCAGAAAAGTTTACATTCCCGTGAGAAGTTGAGTTTTAAAAGTTTTATTTCCATATAAACTTTTTTGTTTGTTTGTTAGGGAATATCGAACACAGGAAAAAAAATACATGAAAGTTTAAGCTAACTTTATACTAGTATGGAAATACACAAAGCAATTGCTGACTTTTCCGAGGATTTAGTGTTAGCATATTTAAAAGAACAATCTGAAGCTGTGGGTATACCGTGTGAGTTTACTGCCTGCTATAATGACGACGATGACTGTAGATACACGTATAATAGTGATGATGAGAGAATACGCGCTGGGTATAGTGATCTAGATGACCCTGGCAATATAGCGAGTACCTCAAGGGAAAATGAAGCGGAGGTCTTTAGTGTAAGAGTGAAAGATCGGGCAAAATCTATTGATAGTGGAGTTTGTGTTGGTAGCAAGAAAACTAACGGACGTAGTAAGAGAGATGGTATAGAAAATGGAAGGCGGGATAGTGTTAAAGGTGTTACCGGAAGTCCTGTAGCGTCATTACATAAACTTAATACAGGAGGTGGTGATACTGTAGCTGCCTGTAGTAGTAATGGTGCCTCTCACACGCTGGATTTCGATGAACATGAGAAAAGGAATAAATCGCTCGTCCTCGCGTTCAAGAAAGGGGATATTTTTGCGGTAAGTTGAACCTAACCAAACATACCCTATCCTAACCTAACCTAACCTAACCTAACCAAACCAAACCAAACCAAACCAAACCAAACCAAACATAACCTAACCAATCCTAACCTAACATATCCTAACCTAACATATCCTAACCTAACATATCCTAACCTAACCAATCCTAACCTAACCAATCCTAACCTAACATATCTTAACCTAACCAATCCTAACCTAACATATCCTAACCTAACGTATCCCAAACTAACATAACCTATCGTAACCTAATCTAATATTATTTAACCTAACTGTTATAACATATTCTAGGCTAACCTAATATAACCTAATCACACTCCCCCAATATATTGTTAGGTGAAATAAACTGTGGTGGAGATTCTTCAGGTGATCCCAAGGAAAAAAATGCAAAACCCTTAAGTACTGTTTACCATTAGCGCCCGTATGAATATCTAAGCGAAGGAATTAAGCATTTAAATTCAGTATATCTTTAGTTACAAGGATTATTCAACTTAAGAATCTCTTGAGAAACTACATCAATCACAAATGGGATGGAATATTATAAATTGTCAACAAACTTAACTTATTCCTGGTTTATTAAGCATGTGATCCGTGTGTTGCATCCAAACAGCTTTCTCCTCTTGTCTTCAATTCTCAACCTTTTTCGTTAATTTGTTTGATCTCAGCTGAAAAAAAAAATGAAAAAAAAGATAATAATAATTTCCCTTTTGATACCCAAGCTATGAGGCACTGAAGAGAATATTATATGGTCTTGAATATGTGGTAATATATTGTACTTGCCTAATACCATACCAGCAATGCCACTTGACAAGGCTTCGAATGATAGGTATTGTCTGAGTATTGAGTGTGACAGCATGTATTTATGTTAGGTTCATCTGCTTTAATGAACTTTCACATTAGAAAAACAATGACTTTCAATTTAGATTCACAATGGCATGTATTCAGCCTGACGTTCCCTCGGTCATTAATCGGTCACAACTCAGTCACAAGTCGGTCATAACTCGGTCATAACTCGGTCACATCAATGGTCTGGTGAAATTGGGGTGACTATTTGACGCCATGCACACCCTCGACTCTCTCCACCTGTGCTTGTCGTTTCCATACATTTTAAATCACGACACAGGCGTGAACACTGAACACCCTTCCTCCCTCATGGTTAGGTTAGGATAGGTTAGTTTAGGTTAGGCTGGATTAAATTAGATTAGATTTGGTTAGGCTAAACTGGATCGTCCCAAAATGACTTGCCTGCAACTCATCAAGGGCGTGGGCACTTAAGCTCTTCCTAACACCCATAAATTAATATTTCCTCCCAACATGCAAGCAAAAATATCCACTTGAGTATAATGTATAGTATCGGCTTTATCACCCTGTATTAAATTCATTATAGTTTATTATTTTTTATAACCAAGATAAAGCATATCAGTTGTGTAAGCGACCTGAAATTCATTATCACCAATATTAATCTAAATATTGCTGTAATTAAAAAGTGGCTTATTACCAAATTAAAAAATTAAAAATTAATGGTAGAAATTATTTTTATAAATACGTATAAAACAGAGAGATAGAGAGAGATAAGAGAGAAAACACATTTTAGTCCCATCTGAATGACATCTTGTAAACAGGATGCGAACGCTACTTATGAAAACGTGTCCATTTATATTCTGTAAGTATGAATCTGTTTATTTTAATATTTATTTGATACTTTGATTCACTTGCGGTATATTATGTTGATATATATGTATGTATGCATGTATGTAGGCTATTTTTACTATAGGATATTGATTATTATCGGCTAAAGTTCGTATATTATTTAACTAGACTTTACCTTTGTTAAGTTTACAAGACAAAAATTAAAGTCAGATTCTACCTTAACTAGTTAGGTTCAGTTTTAGCAGAGAATAGTTTGGCTGGTGCCTGGGTCGACTGATGGTGTTCGTGAGGGGGCGTTGC